TTTTGTATATGAAATCATAACAAACACCATTTTTGAACGGATTCCCTTAGATTAATTACAAATAAGTAGCTACTGAGAAAAAGAAGATCAAATACTATAGAAATCTTTTTGTTTGTTATTAGGCATAAACAGTTGAAGGCACATGATCTCAGGCATTTCTGCACTGCAGTTTAATATGACTTATCTTGCTGACGAATACTTTATGCATCGGTTAAGATATCAATCAGAGAATGCTTACAGTGGCAACATATAACAACAGACCAACATACTGACGTATATTTGGTGATGTAATGTATTGCAGGACAGTGCGGTGGGTAAACAGCTGACTCTAGAGCCCTTACTCTATTCTAATGTTTGCTCTGTTTCCCTGCAGATATCCCCCTGCTGAAGGAAGCATGAAGCCTCCAGCCTGCTAGCAGCAGCAGCACAGTCCTTATTTCCCTCTCTCACTGCTGACCAGGACTGACTGTGGCTGTCAACCTACTTCCCCCCCACTCCCCTCACAGCCTGCAGAGAACAGACTAGAACTATGCCCCCATTCCCCAATGCAACCCGTTCTGCCATTGCTTTCCATGCAGAGCAAAGCCAACAACCAATACTTGCAATGATGGAGCACCACTGCACCCAGCTGCTGGATCGAAATAAAGACAAGCCAGACAATAAAGTGGTGCCAGCTCAACATAAATCCTTTAGATCCTTTGTAAGACATACATACTGAGTCACGGTTGTGTACTATAGGCTTTGTTTTATCACACACTTGCCTCCTCCCAGGTGTACTTCTCTATATAAACATTGCTCACAGAGGCTTCATCGGAAAAAGGCTATAGCAACACGTCCACTCCGTCTGGGATTGCTGCGGATAAAACAAAAAAGATACTCCTGATGTTCGCCCCTGACGCCCGGAATCAAAAATCGTCTTCCCGCTGTACTTGAAAAGGTTGTGAGTGACGGCTGGGATCTATGAATGCTGCATGTGGTTTTTAGTTATTGCTGTCAGAGCGCCATGGCCCGCTGAAAGAAGCACGAAGCCTCCTCTGTCTCTCCCTCTCTGCTCTCTGTGTGTCCGTGAGGCGTCTAGCTTATGGATCAGTGGGATTGAGAACCACTTCACAAGAGCTAAAAGCAGGCTGCAGCATTTTTTTAACACCATATCATAACTACAAATAAACACGCTTTTTTTTTTCTGCCGCCAGCTGCACCCAATTAATTGGCGATTTAGATTCAGGACTTTGCTTTAAGTCTTACCTGTATAAGAAGACATGGGATGCTTTTCATCATGCTAGCATCTGGATAGCATCAGTTTATACAACTTGATGGAAGACTTTCTAGTAGGATACTCTTGTTTTCCTTTGCTCCAAGCCCCATAAGAAGCCTTGTCTCCTCAGTCCTTGTCTCCTCAGTCCTTGTTTCCTCAAGGTTCATTTAAGGGATGGAAGATCCTCCATGATGTCAATTTTCGGTTCATAGGGGGAAGTGAGGAAGAATACGTTGGCATGATGAAAAGCACGATTATGTCACATTTAGTCTGAAAGCTGAGAAGAGTCTTTTCTTTCATGGTGATCGGACACTTGACTAAACTTTAAGCTTTTTTTCTGCTTTTCTGCCGTCTGTATTTATTGGTGTGTGGCTCAGTTTGCTTTGACTTGCTGAATCTGTGTGAGTGTGTATCTTTATGTGTCAGCTAGTTCAGGACATGTAGTCATACGGTCGCCTCGATACAGCCATTTCCTGATTCGCCTTGCTTCACAATGTCCCCGTCTTTCACCATAGGAAAATATCCATCCCAGCACTGAATAAGTCACATGAACAAACCAGCGTCCCGTCAGCCAAGTAGTCCACTACACAATGCGTGTATTATTCATGTACTCTCATGCTAGAATATTCATCATTTTCTGCTGAATGGCTGGAAAACCCAAATCCCCTCAGAGGAACTGGCTCTCGCCCACCTTCCCACTGAATAAGACTCTCCACTATTGTGCATTATTGACACAACTGGTTGCAGTGCAACGTTTTGTGAAACACCCCAACCTCGCCTCATACACTCACTCGCCCTCCCTAATGCCAAGTGCAAATTTAAGAGAGTATCATATTATTTAGTTATAAATCTGTTTTAATTGAAACGCTTTTAGTGGTTGAGCTGGTCACCCTGGAAACGACATGACACTGATGGATCAGGAGAATTACCTTTCAAGCTAAACTGCTCAGAGAACCCCCCGGAACAACCCTTTCTGAATTTCTATTCTTGTTTTATTTGGCATTAGTGGCTGTCTGTCATTGTCAATGGCTACATTATTAATGCAAACAGAATGTTGCCTTAGACTTGTAAATTGTCTTTTTCTTTTTTTTATAATCTTAAGCGTCCGCATTGGTTGCTTTAAAATATTGCAACATATTCTGTTTTCCCAATGGCCTTACTCTGTTCTTTTCTATTCTATGCATAAAACTGTCTTTGTGTATTTATCAATGAGTATACTTTTGCTTTGGACACGACTAAACGAATGACCATTCTTCTCTGTCCCCCCATAGCTTTTACAGCTACTGTGATGATGAAGATGGTGGTGATGATGGTGATAATGATGAACGTATGAGCACCTATATTTCACTATTCCTTTGCAACAAGGCAGTAAAATATTATGGGATTGAAAAGAGACAACAAAAAGAAAATAACTGAACCATTCAGAAACACTGTTGTACGGTGTTGCGTTCCTGAAAAATAACAAAAGTACACATGTTGATTCTTCGTTTCAAAAATGCTTTCTGCTTTGGTTTTTCCTCTGTACATGGCAATGGGTGTGAAGATAGTAATTTAATATTTGTATAAAGTTTAATTTAATTTTACAGTGTGTATATAACTTTCTAATTAAAGCTTTCTTTTAAATGTGGAATATGATTGGTCATTATTTCCAAATAACATGTTTCTATACTTCTTTGGTTGAGAATCTGGAAAGATCTGAACCATGAAGAGAAACTCCTGTTCACTATCAGAATGAATGCAGTAGCCTACTTCCTGGATCTGTGCAACCCATAATCGGTGTTATATTTCTAGAGCTATTCCTAGCGTGCATCACGTATTATCAGTCGCATATAGTACCTCATGATACTCTAACCAGCTATGAGATCACTAGCAAACCTCTGTATAAGGAAGACCTCTATCCCTTCCATCAATTCAGAATCAATAAATAACCATCAAAATGGAAAGTACATGTATTCTTGGTCAAAGGTCCTCCTAGATAAATATGTTATGTTCATAACTGCTTCCTGGATTATGTTGCCGTGTTTTATACGACTGCAGAATGACACACCTGACTTCTTGAAACCAATTGAGTATGCTTGCAATTTAGAAAGACATGTTCTACCTGGATTCACTTTATTTTAATGTATTTTTCTTGGATGTTTCTTATTTAAGCTATAGCTACTGTTGATCATTGTTTACTGTGTACAGAAATATTGTGTCAGAGTGACACCTGGTGGTCATAATCAGAAACGAAACCGATGAGTGAGTGACGTCATGTTCGGAAACCACTTCGGCATTCTTCGTTTTTCTGCTGCGTCACCATCCGCCAGGTCGCAGAGAAAGTAGAACCTTTACATATCTACCAAGTAGAACACATCGATTGATTAATAATGGGGATTTAATGCTTTGCTAAAAGGTTACAGTTACATGCAAAAACCCCATCACAACAGTGCTTCGGTCATTTCATACTGTGCTTTTATGAGTATCTTAGATTACTAATTTGATTACTGCAAATACTAATTCTTTGTAAAAATTAACTTTTTTTAAAGTGTGGTCTTCCAGTTACCCTGACTGTGACTCCCTCTGGCTTTACGGTAAGAACAAGGAATTGGGATAAACCCTAACAGTGCTCCAGATCATTTATCTACTTGTATCATACTTTAAAAAAAAGAGATAACTGGTTATGTCTTGCCTCAGTCTGAAGCAGGATTGGTTACAGGATTGTGATCATTTCTGGCAGATTGTGGTCTACTACTATTAATGCCTGGCTAACCCCTTTATACAGTCTATGCCGGGCAAACCGCACTGGTTCGAATGAAGGAGCATTACTGTTTAGCCCAAGCAGCAAATTGACAACTTATTTGTTTAAAGGTCTCCTATTATACAATTTGTAGGCATATATTATAGGTCTCAGATATATATAAATATATACAAAACATGTCTATGAAGTGTTCTGCTCAAAATACCAAACAGATCACCCATTGATTATAGCCATGCCTCATACCCCTCTTTTTCTATGTGTGTGTGTGTGTGTGTGTGTGTGTGTGTGTGGTGGTGTGTGTGTGTGGTGTGGTGTGTGTGTGTGTGTGTGTGTGTGTGTGTGTGGTGTTGTGTGTGTGTGTGTGTGTGTGTGTGTGTGTGTGTGTGTGTGTGTTGTGTGTGTGTGTGTGTGTGTGTGTGTGTGTGTGTGTGTGTGTGTGTGTGTGTGTGTGTGTGTGAAAATCTGATTCCCATATATATATATATGGGAATCAGATTTTTATATAAATGTAGTGAGGAAATCAGTTTAATGTTACGGATTGGTTAGTGACGATGGCAGTGCTGCGCGTGCAGGGATCCTTGAAGTACGCCAACGTGCGTTGACTTGCGAAGGCGCATTTATTGCTGCTCGCATCTTTAATTATTATTATATTATTTATATCAATATACTTTTTATCATTTTATTTATTTTATATTTATACATTATTGTGTTATGTCTCTTGGAGGTAGACATGAAATCATCAAAAATGACATAAAATAAATAAAGGAAAAAAGAAGGGAAACAAAGAAAAATAGAGTTTCATATTTCCGATAAAAAAACAGTTTTGATTGCCGATTTAGTCATACTGTTTTTTAATAGTTCTACTATATTGGTTTAACTATTGGCAAGAAGGTTTAAAATTAGGATTCCTTAAAATAAAAAACACAGATGATATTTCCGGTTATATCTCACCAGTGGGTGGCGCTAACGTCTAAAAAAAGAGTGGGAAAACGTCAAAGAAGAAGAAGTGGTAGAAAAAGACGTAGAAGAAGAATATCGTTTTCATTATACATCCATGCTCAACCACCCCCTCTCTGAAAAGCAAAGGCTCCATTTTGTTTAGTTCCTGCGGTCACAGTCAACACACCCTGCAAGGAAAACAACGACAAAACCCCGTCTACAGTAAGTGCACAGCGATTAAAATGTATCTCAACATCACTATAGAGTTGTGTTAAAATAAACATATGTTGCGTATGAGCATTGTTAGCTTAAAATAGCACGACCAACGGATGGCTAAGAAATTGGTTGTTAGGCCCCAGCGTTTGTCTTGCTAGCTTGCTAACAAAACATGTTAACCAACGTTTTTAAACGGCTTGATTTGCGAGTAGTTGTAACATTATTTATCATGTTCTGTGTTAGATACATTCGTCAAGTTAATGTATGTACGCCTGTTTGCAGATAATTGTAACTACGACATCGGAAATGAGTGGATGTCGTATTTTCATCGGCCGTCTGAGCCCATCGGCCAGAGAGAAGGATGTGGAGAGGTTCTTCAAGGGATACGGCCGCATCCGGGATATCGACCTCAAGAGGGGCTTTGGCTTTGTGGTGAGTCCTCTTAAGTCATATACAATTATTCTGAAAACTTATATATGCTGAAAAAAACCCCTCAAACTCCAGTGTTCAAAGTAACTTAAACTCCCACTGTACATTTTACATTTATATTCAATTCTAGTGTCTTAATTTCTCTTATTTTTTGTATGCCGTTGCAACGCAAACATTTCCCAAATTGGGATCAATAAAGTACTTATCTCTCTAAGTATATCTACTCAAGTACTGTTATTAACTACCGTTTAAACTACTTTGTTCTTTGGCCTAAGTACAAGATCTAAGTATTTTTTCCACCTCTGTCCAACTTTACATTCAAATATCTGGGCATTTGCATTTCGCTCAACAGGCAATTGGGTTGAGAAATCCTTTGTTCATTATTTGTCAAGAATGATCCTAAACCGGTGTGGAAAAGGGACAAACGTGTGGTGTTCTGTTTGTTTAGGAGTTTGACGACCCCAGAGACGCTGAAGATGCTGTTTATGAGCTTGATGGCAAGGAGTTGTGCAGTGAAAGGTAGGAGTTATGCAAAATCAATAATGGGGAATAAACTTGTTTGGGTTCTCGTTCTCTTCTTACTCTGCCTGTTTCATCAAGAACTGTTTTTACAATTTTTAAAACGAAACCCTCTGTAATTCAGGGTGACCATTGAGCACGCTCGTGTGCGTCTGCGTGGCGGCCGCGGCGGCAGCAGAGGAGGCAGTGGCGGCAGCGCCGGAGGACGTTTCTCCTCTGATCGCTATGGCAGAGGCTCCCAGAACAGTCGGAGGTAAAATTCTTACATCATGCAAGGTTATGGTTACAAAAGGCCTTTAGCTAGGATATGGTATGGGTTTTGTTTTTTTACCGCACATATTTTATTACATTCTATTTCAATGTAAGTACTGCTTTATTTAATTAAAAATGTTACTATATTTTTTCTAATTTTACTATAATGTTAAAATAGTTCTATCTGTGTTTTTTAATCTTAATTTTTGTTTTACTTATGTATGCACCACGACACCAAGTCAAATTCCTTGTACGTGTAAACCAACCTGGTAATCAACCTGTTTCTGATGATATCAGATAGAATCGCTTGGTGTCATTTAAATGAGGAAAGGAATGCATATAAATGTAAAAGTAGGCTTACTTTCAACAGTCATTCTGTTCATTATTTAAGGATTGCACTCGTGTTTTTTATATTTGCTACTTCTTTTTCTTGAGATAAAACAGTTTACGGATCTGTTGACAAGAAGTTAATGAAAGCTCTTCAGCTCAGTCAGTAGTTCAACCTCACACTGTTATAGTTCAATTGATTGATTCTTTTTTTCTCTTCAGCCGAAACCCTCCTCCGATGCGCACGGAGAATCGCCTCATCGTTGAGAACTTATCTTCTCGTGTCAGCTGGCAGGTTAGTTTTTCCACATGATTTTTATGCACAGCAAGTCTACAAGCGGCAACAAATATTATCACCTCCAACAGTCTGCCTCCAACAATACACACATACAACTGTAGATTTTCCGTGATGCTAAAAAACATTGATTTTCTGGAATCTACTCAATCATTTTTACTTGGCTTGCTAAATGTTAAAACTTTTTTTTATTGTGATGAGGCCCAAATTGTTATTTAAAAATAAATTATTAAATCTGCATCTAATGCAGTTAAGTAATGAGACAACAAAATTAGAAAACATTTAATTTGTTCATTTTTTTTCAAATTGTAACCAATTCTTCACCCCTCTATTTGCCAGCCTGACTGTTGTGTCATAAGGAAGAGCTCGCTTATGGTGGAGTTAACCCCTTCTGGGTCCTTCTGTCTGGGTTGAGCCCTGAGGTGTCAGCCAGTCTGTCCTACTCCTAGTTGATGCCTGCTGGTCATGTGAGCGCTCGCTCCTCACTAGAGGCGCTGGCGGCCCCTTCGTTCGCTCGCACCGCCCCCTGTTGAAGGCAGGGGGGCGCCTGATGTGTGGCTGAGAGAGAGGAAACAGAGAGTTGGCAGAGAGAAAGGAGAGGAAAGAGCGAGAGTCGATGGTGATGGTGGTGGCGTATTGATCGATGGTTCGTTAATTTGAGGGGCTTCAGTCGATCGATATCCCCCTCCCCTCCCCCTCTGGTGTTCCCGCACATCGCGAGAGAGAGAGTGTGAATTCCTCCCAGGTGCCCATGGATAATATCTGCAGTTATGGTCGGCTCGGAGAGCCTGCGGCCCCCTCCAAAGGGTTTCGCTCTCAGGTAGTAGTTTCCTCTCTTCCACCCTGTTCACTCTCTTTACTGAGACAGGGTGCCGAGACAAGGGCGGTCCCGGCGTGGAGCCCTGTGCCCTCTTAGTCAGGGAAAATGGGGCTCTTGGTGCCAAAGGCTGCCCAAGTGGCGCCACTGCAGTTCAGTTCATGCAGATGGTGTTCATGTCTCTGTAGTTGTAATGAGTCCAAGAATCTCAAAGCTTTTGCAAATACTTAATTGATTTTCCACTCATAACACTTATCAAAATTGGTCTCTTTAAATTGGCATACATTGTATTTTTTCTAAAAACACATTTAGTTTGAAGGACTGCCTGTGAGGTTCTTGGACTCATCATCCTTATCTGCAGTAGTCTGTGTAGTCCTCTCAGACAATCTAACCATCTCTCTTTTTGGGTAAATCAGTGCTGTTTTATATCTCAGGCTGTGCTTGTGTCCTGAGCCTCTCCATAAGTTGACTGATGTTTACGTGTGTAGGACCTGAAAGATTTCATGAGACAAGCTGGAGAGGTGACATTTGCAGACGCACATCGCCCCAAGCTCAACGAAGGGTAAGTCCATTATCTCTCTAAGTGGCCATTGCTTTCCAATCGATGACATAAACATACATCTCAGATTGTAATTATTGTGTGTTGTGTTTTCAGAGTCGTTGAGTTTGCCTCTTCCAGTGATCTTAAAAACGCCATGGACAAACTGTCTGGAAAGGAAATCAATGGCAGGAAAATCAAGCTCATTGAGGCAGCCAGAAAGAGGTGAGCGGCTCTTTCTTTCACTTGTTGATGGTGTCCACATTCCACCCACGTTTCCTTTTTACTCACTATAAAAACATGGCCTAACAAAGCATTATGACTTGGATTAAGTAGAGCTGCATTTTACCTTTCTTTCAAGTCAGCAAAGACGAATGAAGCCCTCTTCTGATTGTGTTTAGGTCTTTATAAGGTTGACTTCAATGAATTAATTTAACCATCTCTCATGCAGGTTGAATAAATCCAGTAGATCTACATGTGTTTTAGACGTTTTGTACCCATACTTTTCATACCCTAATGCTCTCCTTCGTCTCTTTCCCTCCCAGGTCGAGGAGCCGCTCCCGCTCCGAGAGCTCTTCTCGCTCACGGTCCCGTTCCCGCGGTCGCTCTCCATCTCGCTCCCCCCGACGCTCCCGCAGCCCCCCCCACAAGACCCACAACCGCTCACGCTCTCGTTCCCGCAGCGTCTCCCCCGCCGGCGGTGCCAACTCGCCGTCCCACAAATCAAAAGACCCCCCGAAGCGCTCCAAGATGAGCCGGTCCGCCACCCCCCCCTCCCCGATGCCCGCTCAGAAAGCCTCTCGTTCCCCGCTCTCGTTCCCGCTCTCGCTCCCGTTCCCGCTCTCGGTCCACCGACAGCCAGCGCTAAAAGCCACGTTTCAGTTCAATGTAAAACAACTTAATTCACCAGTAGACTCGGCTTAGAGGCACGCTGGAGCTCCCGTGTATCAAACGGGAACATTGAGTCAAATAGTTTGTAGTCATAATCGAGAGCGTTTAAATGAAATCACCATAACAGACGACACTCTTTTTACAGTGATGCTGTTTGTCGGCCCCCCCTCCTTTCATCAACCTCATGTACGTTTACACCCCAACTCTTTTTTTTTCACAAGATCACCAAAATGCCCGAGTGAACCAGCATCATGTTTCACCGTGATTGGGACTGTAAAGTTCAGAATTACTTTGAAGAAGGAATCTGTCATTGTGACCACTTTCTTTCAGTGGCAAATTTTAACCCATTTCCACGTTTTAAGTCCTCATCGTTCTTGTTTTTTCAAAGTCAGTTTGCCTCTTTTCTCTATTTTCTGCCCTACTGTCACAGCTGTTGTCTATCTATACCTGAGGATGCTTGCATGTGCTTCCCCCCCCTTTTTTTAAATAAAATGTAGAATCTTTGTTTTTTAAACATCTTTTGTGCTTAATATAAATCATCATTGGCTTTGCAGTATCAAGAACACTGCTCAATACCACATTTTTCCAGCAGTTCACAGAACTCTAAATGTCATGGAGCTTATTCTCACTTGCCGTTGACAGTTTATTTTATTGTGTTGGGAGATGTAATTCTCCTTTGAGGCAAATGTCAACACTTTTTTCTAGACTTGTAATTAAAGTTTTTATTTTTTTCTTGGTTTAGGTTATATTGTTTTTGTGTACAGCATTGCAGACTTTTGTTTTACATAAGTGTATAATGTAATTCCAAGAATGCTGGTTGGTACTGTGACTGTTTCTGTGGTTTAATGAACATGTAGACAAGAGTTTGAAAAAAAAATGCAACATTTTTGTATGTAAGGATTTTATTTTCAGTGAAAAATATGATTGACGTTTGTATGATGTAGGAAGATGGACGTTGGACTTAAACAATAAAAAGATTTTAACTAAATCATAAATGTTCTGTTCATCACTGATTGTAATGAAACCTCTACCTATCCGTCTGCTGACAGTGCCCAAGACCAGGCTCAAACCCCAGGGCACCAAGCCTTCGCAGCAGCTGGCCTTAGGCTCTGGAATAGTCTGCGGTTGCTTGGCCTCTAATGGTTAGAGGATGTTGCGATGTGTTTGCTCAAAATAAAATAACAAACTTTTGCAACAAAGAAAATAGGCCTTTACAATATTCAAAAGAAATACGCAAAACTCAAAATAAACAACTACGGTATTCTTTCTTGATAATGCTTATATAACTTCATAACTTAAAGAGTACTTGTTTTAAATCCTCACAAAACACACTTCTTTGGCCTTCTAGTCAGAGCGGAGCATGACACCTGACTATTCCCTGTGTTTTATTTTTTTATATTTCTGTTGTAAATTATTGTCTTGTGATTGTAGTAAAGTGTTTTTATTACATGTACAGCACTTTGGCTTGACCAAAAATCGCTTTTAAATGTGCTGTATAAATAAAACTTGATTTGATACCTAGTCATTCAAGGTGTACATAAACACTACGACACAAAGTGGCTGTCGGTCATTCTGACCCACAAACCTTTGCACAGCAGATCTTCTGTATGTATAGAATATGTTGTAAACTCTCTAATATTGCAAAAAAATGTAACTTAACCCTTCTCTTGCGTTTCGGTTCAAAAGTGACCGAATGACTTTTGTTTTAATCATAAATATTGTGTTTTTCATCCAATTGCCTCAATACCTTATGTTATCCTCCACACTAGGCCTCTGAACATATACACTTGATGATCACCACTTGCATTGCATTTTGAGTGATTTATTCAACAGTGAAACACCTTTGACGTTTTCGGTCAGAATTGACCGCCATAGAAATGAATGAGTATGTTCATCCTGCAGATGGAAAACATCTATACACACACGTTACGGGAACCTCTCCCTTTCTCACGCTGTATGATACAATGTATCATACCTTCTCACAGGTGCAAGCTCTTTTTCCCTCGAGATACACAAACCTCTCTCGCTAAATGCGCCTTCCTTACTGTCTCTCAAGCAGTTATATTTGTGCCTTGCTCACATTTGACTCATTGACACAATGAGCAGGCGACCAATTAGGCGATTTTCTGTATCAGGGGCTCTGGACACATTTTTTGAACCAGATGAAGAGGAGATTGAACCAGATGAAGAGGAGATAGAGGAAGATGTCTCAGAAATGGAAGACAACAGCGATCCAGACTGAGCCTACAACAGACCAGGAAGAGGCACCTGAGGGAGAGGAGGGAGAGGCCCCTGAGGGAGAGGAGCCTGAGGTGACATTCCACAATTTTGCATTATGTGCGTGAACACACAGTTGTTCTGATATGGTATATTTCTCTTTCAATAAATGTTCATTGAGGAAAACAGTATCAGTGTCTTACAGTGAATGCTGAACTTGATGGGCCCACCGGTGGGTCCGGACCATGACATGAAACACTGGCTTGCTTGTATCAAATCAATACATCCCATACATCATTGGAACGGGAAGAATCTCAGCTACAACACTAACTGAAGCATTTCCATCTCCAGTAAACACAGCCTACAGGGCAAGCATTTTTATAATATACAGTAATGTAAAATAAGCACTATCTTTGAACTTACTGCCAAAAATAATATGAAATTCACCCCTGGTGTCGTTCTGTCTGTCATCCATTGATTCTACTTGCTTTGACTGTTCAAATGAGATGTCAACTATCAAAATTGGATAAGGGGTTCCAGAGATATCACTGTGCAAACCACACCGGTTAATTTTGACCGAAAATAGCATGGGAAGGGGGGTATGGGTATGATGGTATGACCTAACGCAAGAGAAGGGTAAAGAGTTATTATTCAGAGGAACAAAAGGCAGAGAAAAAGTAAAATGACAATAGAGAACTGAGGCTGAAAATATAATATGTTATCAGCAAAACAGATTAAGATATAGATACCGGTAATGAATTCTATCTGTTTAGTTTTTTTGAATTTCCAAATTCACATGGCATGCTTCTTCAAAATACATATCACAAATAAAGTATATTTTCACTTATATCTATTTGTTTTTACTTTCATTGTCATTACATAGTACAGGTACTAGTAACGAAATTGTTTCTCTGCATTTGACCCATCCTAGTGTTAGGAGCAGTGGGCTGCCATTATTATGTACGGCGCCCGGGAAGGCAGTGTAGGGAACGGTGCCTTGCTCAGGGACACCTCGGTAGCACTTGGTCTTGCCGGGACTTGAACTGGTGACCTTCCAGTTGCCAAGCCAAGTCCCTATGGACTTCGCCACCACCGCGATTTATTTATATATTTATGTTTATACTGCTTGTGATTTAACTAAACTGACATTTTTTGCTTAAATATGTTTCATTTTTTTAACGACACACCTCACTCTCCTTTGTGCTTTTGATGCCAAGTCAACCTCCGTCTCATCTCTCCACATCCTCCCTCCCTGCTGTGTGCAGAACATTACCTCCACAGGATTTATCTGTTTTGCAAAGAAACTCATAAGAAACCAGAGAGTTTGATAAATGTGTCTCTCGACTGCATGCTGCTCTGAAAGTGTGAATTGCACACCTGTTCTTGGAGGTCAGTTTGGAGAAAATAGAAGAAATCCCACCGAGTGGATTCCCCAGACACAAACACTCATTCCTGCATGAAGATAACAACTGACACGTTTGTTCACAGCTGTGTGATGTATTGTGTTGCTACATGTTGTGCCAGAGGTTCCTCTACTCTTCTCTCTGAAACTGAATCCTTGTGTGAAGGTAATCTCTTATTTTGTGAGACAGAAATGACAAACACATACTACTAGGTTGAACAGAGGTGCCATCTAGTGCCTCAATGGATTTCTGCAGTTTAGCAATACCTCAGGATAATCTAATTTAGAGTGAAAACGCTTATTTACAACACAATATGTGTGTTTTAGGAGATCAAAATGTGTTTTCGGCAGGACACAATGTCGGTCTGTAGGCCTGAATTATGTGTTTAATATATTGTCAAGCATCCCACCAAATGTATGATTTGTTTTACTGTGTGCTTCTGTGAATGTATCAGTTACATTATCCAACTTTGAATGTGTTTCCAATGTGGACATTTCTGAAGAAGAAGATGCTGTGAATGTTTCCAAAATGTCTTTGAATGCTTTCTGCTTGACATGTTTACAAGCAACTACAATGAGTCATATAGAAGAGGAGGATATCTAGATTAGTATCTGTGTACTGTAAGTGTTGTTTCAGACAAAGCAGGATCTACATTTGAAGTCTTTATGGCGGCCCCAAGAGGCTGCATTTTCCATTACACACTCAATAGAATAGTTTAAACTTTAATGGAAGAAACATATATATATTTGGCTTTTGTTGCAGGCTAACCAATAGAGATGCCTATTTTTGGCGCTTTCAGATGAGAAAGGCTTCACTCAAAGTGGCCATTAGCTGCCAAAAACCACCTCAGATTTTGTCAGAAGGAGAGCATTAAAGACCCAAATGGGTGATTATCATCAGGCTTGTTGGCGACAGCATTCTGGCAAGCCATCAGATTAGCATTTGCCAAGTACAAACTCAACTTTGCACATGATTACAAATTACGTTCACAGATTGTTACTCTAAAGCTCGTGCCAAGGTTCCTGATAGCTTTGAATCCTTTGCTGATCTATGCGAACACCCTGTTCAGTAGAGAATAACTGAAAGAGGAAACTCCTCATATGTAACTCTGTGGCAGAGAAGCTCCTACTCAATGCCTTTGAGTTCTGGCGGACATTTATAATTAAAATAAATCCAAGAAACACATCCTTTGAGACAGTGCTCAGTGTTTAAGATGATTCATAATGGATCTACTGAGTGGAAAAACGGCACCGACTGCTTTGTGTTTTACTGTTGATATATCAGCATGATGAGGCGAGTGTTAAAGAGTTACATATGTAAATAAGTCTCTTATCACAGTGACTAAAAACCCTGGGTTTGCGACTTCCAATGCAGCCATGCAATAAAGAAGAATTGGAGTAAACTCACTGTTGAGCTAACACATCAACAGCATCACTCTTAAAGCATGCAGTTTAAAAAACAACAAATAAAACGTCAACAGAATTTCTCTCATAGCATTCAAATCTTATCTCTATCAAGTTATCCCGATGTTCAAAATTGTAAATTATGTACAGTTTATTTTTAAATGGGTCATTTATATTATATTATTTATATATGAATGATTACACAAATATCACTTTAAAAAATGTTGTATTTAAACTAAAGGTACAGTAAGTCCTATCGTAATCGTCTGTTTGACAGACTGTATTACTCTAAAAATCACATGGTCACATATAGTAATACAACACAAAATATGATTGTGGCTGCACTTTATGGCAACCATTTTTTATTTTATATCCAAGCCAAAACATCATATTAACTTGCAAGGAACATTACTGTTAATGTTAATGTAGGACTGCTTGCGTTTTCAAATGTTAACATGGCACAATTCAGTGACAAATTTGCATCTGAAAACTACATTAAGCCCAGCCAAGGCAGAAAATGCTCCACCCTTAATCTAATGGTATATCTGATTGTGCCCCCTGCCCTCCCTTTCATAAGTCATGCACTGACAACAATAGCTAAATGTCTAATGGTGACTGTGCACTGGGGCCCTTGTTGTCTGCAACATGCTGGAAGGGGTCAAAAGTAGGGCATGTTAATGGTTTAACAGGCCGGCCCTGTGAGGACATGGGGGTGGAGGGGAGGGAGGTTTGTGCCTGGCCTGATCAGCCTCTCGAGCTCTAATGACAGCCTTCACATACCTGATTTTACTACTTTTTGGCCACAGCTAATCAATGTCTGAGCTCCAAACAGCCTGAGTGATATGGACTAAAATGGCACTAAAACACTTCATAACTCAGCTCAGGCCTCAGGGGTAATAGCATTGAGGGTGTGGCAAGAAACAGGAAGATGAAAAATATTCTCGGTTTCTAAGAGCTCTGCCTCATTATCATATTATTCTGTTACGTTACCCGTCCCTGGAGGTCATTTAAATGCGACTGTAGAGCACAAATATAGCTGGATGCTTTCTCGCTGTCACCCATGAAGGAGCAGAGGCTTCACTGCAGCGGATGCATTATTAATATAAGGCCTTACTGTGTTGTCATCCTTTACATGGCCATACTGTCACGCCCCGTGTTTCTGGGTGACCCCGTTTGGCTCGGCTGCTTTGGGACATACTGAATAAAATGGTAGATGGGGTGTAAAATTGGAAGGAGGACTACATTTAGAGATAAGACATAAACAGGGGGCGATCCAGGCCAGGAAGAGATGGTATAGGAACAAGGTCAGTGCAGGTCTAAAGCCTTGTTTCAGCACGGAGAGCATGGTGTCGCCTGCAGCTGCCGTGGCCTTTTGACCTGCTGGGGGGAACGCTCCCAGCTTGTTTTTTTTACACATTAACTGATCCACTGTTGCAGCGCAACATAATCCACAGTGTAAGCTCCTTATCTACAGCAGTTTTGAGAAAAAGGAAGCACCAGAGCAGATTATTTGCAATTTGTCCCGAGACCAGAGATACTAAGTAACACATTTTCTCACTCCACCATTATATACAAATAATCTTTCGTTTCTGGAAAGTTGTGCATTATAATAGATATGTCAGACAACATGTATGTGATAGATCTCTTGATGAAGTGTCTGAACAATGAAAGTGTCTGAACAAAGAAATCTAAATAGCTCCTTGCTGGTTTTGTCCCACAGGGTAAAGACCAAATATGTTTAGTCTACTGTCAAAAGCTGTCTAGATACATATTTAGCTGGAACTAAATGTTTTTTTTGCCATTTTGCTTGGAAAATGACTACATCGATTAAAAAATATTTGCCAATTAATTTGTTGTTGTTGTATTTTTGTAATCTTTCGCAAAGCGTTTCACTTGAACAAATAATAGTACAGCAGTAAAGGTTCATGGATTTAGACCGGAATGAATAAATGTTAAGGAAAAAGATAGAGAAAGACAATAACTATATAAATAAATAGGGCAGAAGTCTGTTTGTGTTTCCTGCTATCCACGTGTCTGAGCCATGGCCTTATTTAGCTCCCCTGACATACAAATATGTCTCCAACTCCAACTCCCATAATGCTTCTCAATGGAAAGGAGGTTGTGACGTCGCAAGCGAGCCAAACGACTCCTGGATATTGTAGTTTTCCGACAAACAAAATGTTCTATTTTAAAAATATTTAAAGAACTTATCGATATTTTTGAAACATCATAAACACAACCAGCTATGTGTTCTTGAATAAGTCTATATTCAATGCTGTAATACAGTCCGTTTGTTGATGATACGCGAACAAAACGGATTTAATGACTTCATTTCCCAGACGCCCCTGCGATGTCGCGCATGCTTGCTGCGTAGTGGTGTCTCTGTGTAGTCACGTGGAGACGGTAGTACACTTCGGTTCTGTCCAAACAGAACGTGAGCGTTTAGCAGTCTGTCTGAGCGCCTCTCGGTGCTAAACTGATTCATGTTGTTTTTTTAGCCACACGTCCCTTTAAACTAGACTATTTCATCGAATAATGAGTGATAACGATGATATCGAAGTCGATAGTGACGTGAGTATTACTACTTTCAGCTTTTTAAGGATGTTATTTTGACGATTTAGCTAACCTAGCTGCTCAAGCTAGCGTTAGCATGCTAGCTTCTCTGTCTTGGTTAACTGTGTTTAATTTGTCGGGATTCTTATTATATGATACGCTACACTAGCCCTTGTTGCCTCAAAGCTTTATAAACCTGCTATTTTTTTTTAACTTTCTATTGACTTAAGCACTGCAGTACGATTCGCTCAACAATTATGGCTACAATTGTACTTTTTGTTCTGTCTCTTTGCAGGAAGACTCACCGAGATATCACTGTGTGGTGCGTAATGCTGGGGGGGATTTTGTCCAAATGTGGAGTAATGTGTCACTGCTGTTGCAAAGTTAAATTGTCCATCCCATTCTGCTTATTTCTTTTGGTATTTAATGGTTTGGTGGGGTTATATGGTTGAGGTTGAAATAGCTTGAATGATCTGCTGCTTTCTGCCAACATTAGGTTTAAATTCAAATATATGCACAGCAATTTTCTGAAATGTTCTGCAGTATTAAACCATAGTGCATTGTATATTATGTTATATATGTTCATAGGCATCAGTAGTGCATTGCAGGGGTATCCCCCGTCATGTGTGTGCGGCCATAGGGAGACGGTGACACGACATCTATATATAGACCAAAGGTTTACCCTGTTGTTTGTATGTTAGGTTTTCCCCTTGGTTAATATAAAGCTTAATTTTGCTCGGTTGCAGTCGGTTAGTCGCTCAGAATAGGCTCCCCCCGGCGGTTTTACCTCTCGCCACGGGGGTTCCGCTCGTGATCAGGTTTTTTCGCAAATTACACATCTAGGTCATCTCAGTAAAAAGAGAGACGCTTTTTCATGCATACATGATGTTGCAGGGAGAAGGTGTAGAGGGGGGCTTGTTGTGTGTGTGTGCATCTCGGACAGCCTTCGTGTCAGGAAGGTTGCTGCGGGATGTTTTCCTGTGTTGCAGCCAGTGATTAGAGCCATCTTCTCTCTACAGGCCACTGAAGGGCTGGCAGCCTAAATGAATGACGTATAGCTGCATAGCATACGGCGAGAAAAACACCCTCTGCACGACTCGGTTTGATGCACATGCTGCAAAACACGACGCTTTATCTCCAGTCAGATAACCAGAATGTAAACGCCAAAAATAAATATAAAATGTTAGATTATGCATTAGTGCTTTTTAAGATACAAATAGCTTTGTATTGGCTGTTACCCTCCACAAGACCTCAGTCCTCTTCTCTCCTTACCGTGGTTACTTTACCTCCATTGCAGAGCCACACGAGAAACACAAACCTGATTTCAGCTCACTTCGTGTTTTTTTTATTTGATTATCTAAGCTATTATCATAAAATATGTATGTCCTGATGGCTGTTTGTGTCCCTTATAGTCAGCCATATGCGTCCTTCTACACATGCCTTGCCCTAAATGCATTACAATGAAGCCTACAGATCTGCATGTATACAAAATTATAAAATAGAGGAAATATGTAATTGTTATTGACAGCCAACCTAAACCTTCACTTGAGACTTAAGAAACTCAAATACATGAATTGTAAATGAAATGGCAGCTATTGCGATTTCAATATTTTCCCTTTTCAAATCGCAATTTTGATTTAAAGCGAAGTATCTTTCAGCCCGGCGTACAGGATTAGAAATCAAATCTTTAAGGACGAATGATTCCGACAGTTTGTCAACTATTTAGCCTATATATAACAATGTTGTGTCTCCTAGACTTTATAGACATTGCCCTATTCCACGATCCGATTTGGTAAGCATTCAGAATATTAATTTTGCTCAGCAGTTGGGTGAACAAAACAGAAAAGCCCCAAATGTCCATATTTAATCGCCTGAGAGAGACATATTTGAAACTAACAACTCCATTAACGGTCAATAATTAGCAACTTCATCATAGATTACTTTTCTTCAGATTTGTCGGATAATCTTTGTATTGGTCTTTCCAACATTATTATATGTGAGAAAGCTTTCCACGTATATTCACCCACACTGATAGAAGTGTAGGTTTTCCTTCAGTGAGACAGTCATCGGTAGCCGGAGAGCGGCACCCATCGCTCTTTTTCTAAACACCTGCAGCTTTTATGTTATGTGTCATGGTCAGGTATGAATAGAGCGGAGAGAGACGCTCAGCCGGCGCGTCGTCTCTCCGGCAGTCTGCCAAAGGGATCGGTTATATGATGAACTGATAATGGCTGCACTCAGGTAATTGGACACCTGTTTTTCCTGATGCCCGATGTGCTTAACAACTCGGATAGCTCAAAATATCATCATGTAGCCGACGGCACCAGAACATGTCTGCTGAAGTTATTAAGCTAATGTGTTATCAGTGGACATTCACAGGCTATTATTGGCTCTTGTGATTTACATGTAGCCCAGTTTGCTCACTGCCACCAAATTTGATTTTCATATTGCTCTCACGTAATAGACAGCAGCACTCACAAGAAGTCATGTGAGGTTGGAATTTGTAGAGAAAGCTAGGTTTGGGGAGACAACAACATATACTGTATCACACATGTCGTTTATACTGTTGTATCTATAACTGAAGTGTATTAGAGGTGTTTTATATAATCGCACACGCATCTTCAAATCAATAGGAAGGATTTCTTTATGGCAATAATACATCATTTATACATTTTTCATTATTCAGAACCTTCAAATATTAAGTATTTACCAAGCTGGATTAGCCAAAAGCAAAGCACCTGTCTGGTTAATGATTTATCCAAAAGACAATTTACTTTTTCAAAACATCATCTTGTATTTGCATAGGAAATTGGATAAACCATAATCAGAAATGTTGATCATATAAACCAATAATAACTGGTGGTAGTCCACTTAAATCCTGATGCCTCGTGATCCATTTAGTCATAGATGCCTTAACATCAGACACACCTATCTAATGAGTGTCATTTGGTACGTGAAACACAACTCATCCTCTTGCCTCAAATGTGTATTTTATTTTATGAAAGTGTACAGAGATGGCCCACTTCTGCTGTAATACTCTGTTGTGAGAATTCTGTTCAAATGTGAAATTGCTTTTTTCCTAGTAGGATCATTTTGAGTGAAGCCTTTTTATAGAGTGTGTTCACATGAAATCAGCCCGGGCACTTCATGTCCGTAATTGCCTTGTAATTGTATATGGAGCAGCTCCAGAGAGCAGAGCTTGAATACATTTCTGGATCTTAATTACCGTCCTTGAGTAATGATATCATGGACCTTGCCCTACGAAAGAAAATTCAAGACTTAAGATTCAAGGCCTTATTGTCACAAAAGCTAAAGTGTAGTTTTGGCAGTGAAGCTCTTAAGTCCCATGTTTCTCATACAGTGTAACATAAATATATATATGACATAAAACTATACAAATTATGCTAGAAGAAACATAACTAGAAATAAATTAGTGCCAGAGATTGTAAAAAAGGGACCAATGTAAATGTAATGTACAGTAAATGCCGAAATAAATAAACTTTACAGAAGTAAAATAAATAACATAAGCTTAAAACCGAATTTAAATACTGAACATTACGTCACAAACCTCTTAAGTGTTTTGAAGATTGAAGATTCAACTTATGACGTAGTACAGGTACTATGTAACAAAACGTTTTCTCTGCATTTGACCCATCCTGCCATTATGTACGGCGCCCGGGGAGCCGTGTAGGGAACGGTGCCTTGCTCAGGGACACCTCGGTAGCACTTGGTCTTTCCGGGACTTGAACTGGTGACCTTCCCGTTGCCAAGTCCCTATGGACTTCGCCACCACCGCCCTCAGTGTTTTGCGAGTATTGTACAATACAAATAATGCTAGAAGAAACAAAACTAGAAATAAAATAGTGCCAGAGAATGTGAAAAGTGACCGATGTGAAATAAATAACATAAGCTTAAACCCGAATGTTCATTTAAATACTGAACATTAAGAGTTTAAAAAGGCTCAGTTTTAATGGGATGCTCACAAACCTCTTAAGTGTTTTGCGAGTATTGTACGTTAACTAATGTTCTCAATACAACTTGAACATGTTAACATTAAATGCTAAAGAAATAACAAAACAAATGATCTGAAAATACAGAAAAAGGGGATAAAACTGAAGCATTATCTTTAAAAAGGGGTAGTATAATGAATGTCTCCAGCCCTACTCAGGGCTTCAGTGTACTCTCTGTTCACTTGAATCACAATGGCTGCCAGACTTGTAATTGCACATGCCATCAATACCAGTCATGTGTTTGTTTGTGCCAGCGTTAAACGGAGGGAGTGGAGTCTCCTCTCTGAGGCTCTATGTGTGATACGAGGAAGAGGAGGCGGCACGTGCTCCTCAAGGATTTGTTTCTCCTTGCTGGTTTGTGACTCTTGTGCAACAGGAGCAGCTGTCAGCGTGCCAGCCGGAGTACTCTCAAGGCGGGGTGATATGCAGTGAATTCTGATAAACTGGTTTTTATTACGGTTTTAGTTTCATCGTGGTTTTAGTGTTTCAAATTGCAATTTTGATACAGGCCTGCTCAAATGACATGCATTTGATCGAAATCGCAATATTTGAATCGCCGAAAGCTAAATATTTGTTAAAGACTAAATGTGTGTTTTGAATGAAGTATTGTGGAGCTGTAAAGATATACTGGCTTACAAATCATATTGTCCAGGCTTATTAGATTGGACAGAGCTTTATTGTCTCCCATAGGAGAAATTTGTCTTGGGCATCGAGATAATAAACATAAAACATTTAGGACAATCAGTCATAGATACAGAACAGAGATCACATGGCAAAGAAACATACAGGTACAGAACTTTCCCTATTGCACATACATAAATCAAATATTGCCCCTATGCATAGTGTCCGTCATTTGCACATATCCCTATTGTATCCATACCTATTTACACATATTGCACTTTCCCTATTTAACCTTCTCGATTGCACAAACTACTGTAAATATGTATTTAAGTTATTAAAACCGATTTGCTCACATGTCTCAATTGGTCTGGTATTTAGTCTGATTGTTAACCTTGAAGGACTTCCTGTTTCCAAGCATCACTTTAGCGTGTTTTTGTTAGACGTTGAGTCACACTTCACACATTGTCCCTCCCAGAAATCATCCGACACCCCGAAGGCTTGTCTTAACCTGCGCGTTGCCTCACTTGTGGGCTACTTAGTTTTTGTTTGTGTTGATCCTCGGACAAAATGAGTCGGATGATTTAGAGGACAGCTGACGTCACTCCTACCTTCTCTCCAAAGTTCCTGAGGCGATGTCGTGTTCGCTAATAGTTAAACGGCCTTGCTTTGTTGGAGGTGTATGACACGAGATGATCAGTGTTGATTGGGTGCAGGACTTAATGTCTCAGCCTTGTGACGGGGTGGATTAGGACACCATCAGATGTGATTTGGCATTTGTTTGACCTAAAAACAGGTCGACCTACAGCAAAACTGCCTGCCTCTCGTCATGTGATCATGGCAGCCATCTTGTGTATTTACTGTACAATTAGAAAACAAATGTGTGGTGGAAATGTGGGGCCTGTTGGATGCTCATATTATAACCTCTACATGTTACTGGAGATGCATTTTGATTAGGTTAGTTATTTAATTTGGCAAAAGTCGTTAATGCGATAATAAGCTTGAAATGATATGCTTAATATTTGGCACGGTTCAGTGAGGTGTAATGATGACAGCAGAGTAATGTAGGTAGGAAAAGGAAGTGCCTGTAAATCTCCCAAATGCGTATTACATTGTAATCATAAACCACAAAATGCTCAAATAGAACTACTCAAAATATTGTGATCTGCTCTGAAACAAGTCATAAGTCTAGGTGTCATGGAGTCTTTGTGATGTTTAATTCATTCGCCGCGGTCCTCCTCAGCTCATATGAAAGGTTTCTTGACTTTGGCCCGGTCATGAATTTTAACGGCCTCTCCTGTGTGCTCCTGCAGAGAGGGAGGGACAGAAATGCATTGTGGGAAGGGGGGTTTAGGCATGGGCGTAGGAAGCATCCTCAATGTGGGTGGGACAATTTGACAGGGGGTGGGGGCAGGTGGTGGACCTCACCTCCTCTAGGGGGTCCGGGGGGTCATGCTGCACTTTGAGAGCAACATTAGGGGACTACATCTATGGATACATCTCTCATCAACACCCATGTGAAACAGAACTGTAAACAGATTGACTTTTTCTACAAATCACTCCCCTCTTAACCTGTTAGGCCCCAAGCCTGTTTCTCAGGTTTCAGGCTCAAAAATGACATTCCCAGAACAAATGACCATATCTTCCCTTCTAAAAGGGTTAAATGAATAATCTTTTTTCTCAAAGTAATGATAAACCTGTGAGTTGGATGTAGGAAAGTCAGAATCAATATAGATGTTTTTTATTTTAAAGAAAATTCAGATTGAACATGGTAAAAAACTGTAAATTATAGTGTCCGGCCAAAAAATATTTTGTACTTATAGTGAAAACTAACCTTGATGATGGGTTAGTAGACTAAAAGCTTTAGTCATTGCGTCATCGTTTGCGTCATGACGTAACCGCTGCTTCATAAAGCCAAACCGCACGGAAACCCCTCACAGCTGACACCGACAACAACAACAATGGCCGATTGTGCTCCAGCTTCCTCTGTACCTCTTCGGAAGACCAGATTCCCAGCAGGTAGCTGGTCTCTTCAGTGGACCACTGCTGCTTGTTAAGTTTCTCCATCGTTGTGTACAAGCTGGATGAAACGCGGGCTTTTTGTTGTTGTTCAGGAGTTGATCCCCCCCCCCCCCCGCCTCGACGTCAGCGTGACGTATGCGGTGCTTTTGCTCTAGCCGGAACATTTTTGGAGCTTGAAACAAACCGGACTCCGGAGCTAAGAGGCTGCTCCGCTGCGGTGTGAACAGGAAAACCCGGTGCTTTTCAAGCTCCAACTCCGAACCGGCCCTGAAACACCGTTGGTGTGAATGAGGTAACAGTCTGACAGGAGATGACTCTCCCTCCACCTCTTTAATAACAGCGCCTTATATCCTGGTGCTAGTGGAGCGCGCTCGTGAACTGTTAGCGCCGGAGCCTCGCAGCGTGGAAACTGTGGCGCGCATAATTTTACAACTAAAGACACAGCTACACAAAAAACGCAGCATGTGTACGGCTCATGTGTACGGCTCTGAGAATCTGCCTTGGTACAAAGTAGCAGTGAAAACATGGGACGGAGTTTCATTGATTTGGGCATTCTCCCAATAAGCAAGTGGAATGGATTTGATAGTGAAGCACTGACACAACGCTCTACAAAGAGTGGCGAGTGGATAGACCGATTCACGGACTTTCCGCATAGTTGGGGGTCTAAACTAATCATTTTAAAAGGGGGGAGGGGGACTTGTAATATAATGGCTGCGACGCCCATGGGTTTAGGTCACTTTGGAGGTTGTTGGGCTATACAGGGCTCAGGAGGGGGCCACAAGACAAAAGGCTGCATTATACTGAGACTTTTAGTGATGGAAATGAAACTGGTAATAATGACTTTTAAATTGAGTTTTTGTTGGAGGTTTTTTTATGTGAGGCTTCTTGTAGGAAGTGGATGCAGATAATCATGTGACAGAAAATGACTTTTGAGATTATTGATGAGTATATACCGTTTGGTTCTGGTTCTCGTCTAGATCTCTTGGTAGGATATCCCAAACAGTCCGACCGGTTTTAGGGACGCTTGGTGCTCATACTGTCATGCAAAGGGACATATGGCTAGGTCTTTTATTCCACTATTATTCACTCATCACATGTAGTTTGAGCTTTTTCTAGATGCAACATCAGCAGCTACTAACGCAAACACACAGGTTGCACTGTTAGTCTGTCAACACCAGCAGATATGTAGATCTTACCTTTGGGCATTTATAGTATTATGTTCTAGATTCATCGTAAAAAATACAAATATCTGACACTAGCTAATCATTGCTGCTCACATCTGATTACTGTATCTATACTAGCATGGTTTTAATGATTACTACTCCACTGTATAAAGACAGCCATTACAGTGGTGTTGTTGTGAAGGCAGCACAGACCCCCCACCCCCCACTGTGGCTCTGCTGCCGGTCTAAAGGCCGTGTGACTCTTGTCGTTGCAGGCAGACAAAAGGGCACACCACAATGCTCTGGAGCGCAAACGTAGAGATCACATCAAAGACAGCTTTCACAGCCTCCGGGACTCAGTGCCCGCCCTGCAGGGAGAGAAGGTTGGTAAAGCTCAGCCTGCCAGTCCTCCAGGCACACGATGTTCAGGCTCCCATGTAAGACTCTTTTTGAAACTTTTGACATGTCTGAAAGGTGAAGTATGTTGAGTGAATTAACCTGCAAATCATATCAATGCATTTCTGTCATGTGACTAAGCATTTTCTTTCAAATGTGCAGGGATGATTAGTCAAAGTCTAATCAGAATACCTTTGTCTGTCCCACAGAGGGAACTTTACAGCAAGAGCCTGAGATATTGATATTATTTAAGAAGCAGGTCTTTTAAAAATATTTAAGATAAAAGTAGAAATGACACCATTTACAAAATCCAGTGACAGTTATGAGATAGCAGCCAGGTAAGTATTGAAGGTGGAAGTATATACCCGTCAGGTTTATTACAGAGAAGTCAAAGTCAACTGTATTATCAATATCTGTGTGTGGTTCAAACAGGGCGACCCAAATTCTGTTTCTTATCGTCCTAAAGACTCAAATATATTTACAAACATACACAAAAAATATATAAAATAAAAGGCACAACCATAAATATATAAGAATAGCAGTCTGGTAGACTCAAACGGATGATTATATGACAACAGTACAAATAAATACAAGCAGTGCAATAACGGCTAACTACTTTTATAACGTGCGCCAGTGGAGGAAAATAGTTTTAGGGACTGGAGGAGGGCAGATGGCGGCTGAGAGCAGCTTGGCAGCGAGGCAGGAGAAATACTTGGACCAACGACAGGAAGTTATTATGAGGACATTTGTGTTGCTCTCTTCCTGTTTTGTCTCTATGACATTGAGCTGGTTCAGTAACTGCGGGCACAGACTGGCTTATTTTCCTTTAACAGAGCAGTTAATGACTGACGCAGGGGGGGGGCGTTATGAGATGACGTGAGAGATGTTTACCGATCATTTGTAAGAAGTGTTGGGTTACAGCTGCCTCAGTGCAACTCTCTCTCTCTCTCTCTCTCTCTCTTTCCTCTCTCTCTCTCTCTCTCTTTCCTCTCTCTATCTCTATCTCTCTTTTCCTCTCGTCCTATGCCTAATCCTCTCTCTCTCTCCATTCTCTTCCTCTTTCTCTCTTTCTCCGCTCTCCTCTCTCTTTCTCTCCACTCCCTCCTCATCCCTCTCCCTCTCTCTCCTCAGCTGTCTCTCTCTTTCCTCAGAGTCGCCTCTCTCCTCTTTTAACTCGTCTCTCTCTCTCTTCTCGTCTCTTTCGTCTCTCTCTCCTCTTCAATCGTCTTCTTCTCTTCTCTCTCTCATCTTCTTCTCTTCTCTCTCTCTTCTCTCATCTTCTCCTCGTCTCTCTCGCTCTCATCATTCTCGGCTCTCTCTTCTCCTCTCTCGTCTCTCTCTCTCTTCTCTCCTCTAGGCTCTCTCCTCGTCTGATCTCTTCTCTCTCCCTTCTCTCTCTCTCTCTCTCTCTCTCTCTGTACTGCTGTTACAGATCTGCTTCAGGCCAGCATGCAGGGTTTTAATTATTGAGAGAGGGAAACCAATATGAAGAGAATATTTTAGGGCTGGGTGCAAAACCTCAATATTTGACTCTACAGACGGAAATGACTGCATTCAGTAGTTTCAGTTATTGAGTCAATCGGGTAGATTTGAATATCTGCTCAGACAGTTCCCAATATTCAACGGCTTGTGTGTATATATGCACAGTAGCTTCCGTGTAGATATGGAATCTGAAGTTACTGTTTTGAATCCAAATGTTGCCAGCCTAACATATTTTTAGTTTGAGGAATGTCCTTGTCTCTATTAGGAACTTGTTTGGTGAGCATTGACACAATAGCATACTCTTCTTTGGCTCAATACAAATAAATAGAAACATAATTAATATAGCTAGATGCTATTATTAAATGCTCTTTTAATTAACTAGACCCCCAAAACCCCCTTTCTTGTGGGACCTTTTCAGTTTTTCTGTGTCTTTATTGATATTAATATATGAAACTCTTGGCTTTGTGCTGTTGGTCCGACAAAACAAGCTACTAAAATATGTCAGCTTAGGAAATTACTATCAACAGTTAAACTATATTCTAGTCTTCATTAGCCCAAACCACTTCTACTAGAAAACAATCAAACAACTTATTTTAAACAATTCCGTTTTGCATTTAAAAGTTGATGCCGTACTTCCTAAAGGACTACACATGTATGTAATGATATCACAGGTGATGGACTATGTATGTTTACAGAAACTTGCATATTGTACATTTCTATAATTTTTTTTGAATGATACAAACTGCGACAAACACCCTGACAGTAATGTGGGGGGGGGGGGGGGGTCACTCTGAGCGGCTCACAGGTGAACAGCAGTGCAGAACCACACCGTGCTAACCCACATTTCTTCCACAGGCTGCAGTAATGTCGGGCTGTGCAATTAATCTCGATTTTGGTTTGCAACGATTACGAAAACAACGTAATTGAAATAAAAACGATTTATTTGTTATTTTAATTTGTTTTGGTTTTTCAGTTGAATTCTACTTAAAGTTCAGGCTAATCAACTATTTTTTCAATAAATGGATGTTTTCAAAGTAAATGGTTAATCGTTTTTAATAATCGTGATATCAATTATTGACCAAAAATAATCGTGATTATGATTTTTGCCATAATCGCACAGCCCTACAGTAATGTGAAGAAAGCATGCGTATGAATGTCTCTGTGTACGAATGATGTGATAAAAAGTCTATTCCTGCGTCACTGCCTCCATCTCGTGTGTCACTAACAGCCGTTTGCCAAACAGGCGTCTCGGGCTCAAATCCTAGACAAAGCCACAGAGTATATCCAATACATGAGGCGAAAAAATCACACGCACCAGCAGGACATCGACGACCTGAAGAGGCAGAACGCTCTGCTGGAGCAGCAAGGTAACGACTACTGCCCCCCCGACACCGAGGGTACTGTACACACTCTATATCACACACATGAGATATTAAGCTTTTCTGTGGGGTGGATTTTATTCTTAAATTGGGATGAATTTCAATATCTTTCACTTTGATTATACTAATGCTTAAAGCAGGGGTGTCCAAACTACGGCGCGGGGGCTTAAAAAAGTATAATGGAATATGGCCCTCAAATGAAACTTGTGCTCGTCTTATATTGTACTTATTAACTATAAATAATAAATAAACTATACATTTTCCTGTATGTGTCCCTGGGTGAAAAAGGTTTGGACCCCCCTGGCTCAAAGTGACTAATTGTGATGGGCTGCTTTATGGCCTTTCTCACACAATGTTTTTTTAATGCAGGTGGTTCTTTTGTTACTGTATTTAAGATTGCTCCATTGAAAGTGATTCCAGTTTGTTTAAGTGCCATTTTAAGAGTTTTTATTATTGGGATATTCACCATTATTTTGACCAGGACAATCGTGACATGACGTTTTGTATATTCTCCAGCTCCTACAGAACAGATCATTCATTTACTTCAGTCGTGTAATGTGTCCCTGGCCTGCCTTCTGTACGCTCTGAGATCCTGCAGCTCCTGCAGCTCCTGTGTTTCCTCCTCATGGTTTCCTCCTGTGTTTCCTCCTGTGTTTCCTCCTCATGGTTTCCTCCTGTGTTTCCTCCTGTGTTTCCTCCTCATGGTTTCCTCCTGTGTTTCCTCCTCATGGTTTCCTCCTGTGTTTCCTCCTGTGTTTCCTCCTCATGGTTTCCTCCTCATGGTTTCCTCCTGTGTTTCCTCCTGTGTTTCCTCCTGTGTTTCCTCCTGTGTTTCCTCCTCATGGTTTCCTCCTGTGTTTCCTCCTGTGTTTCCTCCTCATGGTTTCCTCCTGTGTTTCCTCCCGTGTTTCCTCCTCATGGTTTCCTCCTGTGTTTCCTCATGGTTTCCTCCTCATGGTTTCCTCCTCATGGTTTCCTCCTGTGTTTCCTCCTCATGGTTTTCTCCTGTGTTTCCTACTGTGTTTCCCTCCTCATGGTTTCATCCTGTGTTTCCTCCTCATGGTTTCATCCTGTGTTTCCTCCTGTGTTTCCTCCTCATGGTTTCCTCCTGTGTTTCCTCCTCTTGGTTTCCTCCTCATGGTTTCCTCCCGGGTTTCCTCCCGTGTTTCCTCCTCATGGTTTCCTCCCATGTTTCCTCCTCATGATTTCCTCCCGTGTTTCCTCCTCATGGTTTCCTCCCGTGTTTCCTCCTCATGGTTTTCCTCCCGTGTTTCCTCCTCATGGTTTCCTCCTGTGTTTCCTCCTCATGGTTTCCTCCTGTGTTTCCTCCTCTTGTGTTTCCTCCTCATGGTTCCATCCTGTGTTTCCTCCTCATGGTTTCCTCCTGTGTTTCCTCATCATGGTTTCCTCCTCATGGTTTCCTCCTGTGTTTCCTCCTCTTGTGTTTCCTCCTGTGTTTCCTCCTCATGGTTTCCTCCTGTGTTTCCTCCTCATGGTTTCCTCCTGTGTTTCCTCCTCTGTGTTTCCTCCTCCTGTGTTTCCTCCTCTTGTGTTTCCTCCTCATGGTTTCCTCCTGTGTTTCCTCCTCATGGTTTCCTCCCGTGTTTCCTCCCGTGTTTCCTCCTCATGGTTTCCTCCCGTGTTTCCTCCTGTGTTTCCTCCTCATGGTTTTCTCCTGTGTTTCCTCCCGTGTTTCCTCCTGTGTTTCCTCCTCATGGTTTTCTCCTGTGTTTCCTCCCGTGTTTCCTCCCGTGTTTCCTCCTCATGGTTTCCTCCCGTGTTTCCTCCTGTGTTTCCTCCTCATGGTGTCCTCCTCTGTGTCTGCAGTGCGTGCTCTGGAGAAGGTGAAGGGCTCTGCTCAGCTCCAGGCCAGCTACTCCTCGTCTGACAGCAGCCTCTACACCAACCCCAAAGGCAGCGCCGTGTCCGCGTTCGACGGCGGCTCGGACTCCAGCTCCGAGTCGGAGGCCGAGGAGCCGCCCAACAGGAAGAAGCTGCGCGTGGAGGCCAGCTAGAGGGGGCGGAGCCATTCAAACATGGCGGTGCACAGAGGAGAGGAAGTGACGCCTTCAAAGCTCTCGAGGCTCATCTCTCCCCCCCCCCCCCGGCCAACAACAAGCCTCCCTCACCGTCCTCCTCCTCCCGTCTCCTCCATCATCTGTGGGTGGGCTCGCTCTGGAGACTCGTGACCTCCTCACGCCGCAAGTATCTCTCCCTCCACCCGACCTATAGGAGGCAGGGAGTCCTTCGGGTGGAGGACGACTGCTTCAGTTCATGTAGAGAGCTTCAGGTTTCTCCCCTCTTTAGGTCTCCCTCGTTGGTAACTCCCCCTCCCCCGCAACATCTACAATCGAACACCCAAAAAGAGGCAGCTTGTCTACTTAAGGACTTGATGCTTTTTATGTACCCTCAATAAGCCCCCCCCCCCTCCCCGGGTGTTTTTTTTGGGCGGTTGAGGGGAGCACCTGGCGTACTCCAAGCACTGCTATATTATATATATTTTTTTGTTTTCTTTGTTATTCTTGAAAAAAAAAAAAGCTGTTTTAGAATTTACACACACACACACACACACACACACACACACACACACACACACACACACCACACACACACACACACACACACACCTAGATGAATTGTCCCAGAGAAGTTTACCTTTTTAAAATAAAAAATGTAGCTTACTTGTTTCCACTAAAGAATGTGAAGACGCTCTGAATCAGTGAGTGAAACCCCCCTCAGGCCCACCGGAGAGCAGAGGCTTTCTGCCTCACACCGTTAACACAAAATTAAAAAAAGAAAAGAAAACATGACTCCTTTGTTGAAATTGATGTTTTGAAGGAGAATATTCCTAAACTTGTATCGTATCTTGTCCTTTAGCTTGAAGTAGTGAATGACTTTAGGTGGCTGAATACGTTAAGCATCTCGTTTTATATATTATAAAAAGCATTGATTGGATGTTTTCGAGTTCTAAAGTATGTTATGAATTTTGTAGTAATCTCACGAGTCATGGGGAAATGCCAATTTGTCACATGTAGTTTTCCTTAAGGGTTTGAAATAGATATTGAATGTCAAAAGGTAGCTCCAGTCTTTTGCAGTACAAGGGAGCGAATAAATTCCCTGTCGATGTGTTGTGCTTTTACATTTAATAAATCAATGTTGCTGAATCCCCCCCCCCCCCCAAGGAAAAAAAGGAAGCATTTTGCGTGTCTAGGAAACGTGTGTGTATGTATATTGTTTCCATTTGATTTCCAGTTAGGAGGGTATAATTAGTGTAAAAATGAGTTTGTTTGTCCGGTTCCATTCCATGGAAATTACAAGTATGTTGTACATACTGCCAACAATTGTCTTGCAAGTTGAGGCCTACCTTTACTATGAGACTATAAAATAAACTATTTTATCCTTTACAATGCTCCCTGTAGTTTTTAAAGGTGCCCTCTTCTGCTCAGTCTCAGGTTCATATCTGTATTGTGTGTCTCTTTGTGACCTGTCTTCATTCTTTAATGTTCAAAAAGCCCTTTATTTTTCTCATACTGCCTGTGCTGCTTCTTTTCACCCTCTGTCTGAAACCAGAGCCCAGCCTGCTCTGATTGGTTAGCTGGCTGGCTCTGTTGTGATTAGTCAACCGCTTGGAGATGTTCCCGCCCCTTAGCCTATCACGTACAATGTATGCTAGCGAATAGAAGCGTGAGTGTACTTTGGGATTTTAGCCCTTGCAGACCATACAAAAAAACCTATATAACACACGACAGGAAATAAAAAAACCCAACAAGTATAATAGCCCTGCACCCCTAACTGTCACACCAACATTTTAAAATGTTTTTTTAATTTCCTGTAGTGTTTTTAAAGGATCCTTGATCGATTAAATGGGTGTCTCACATCTAACTCCAGTTGCCGTTGCTGTGGAATAGCTTTCAGGACGGGTTGTGTTCAGGTACCGCAGGCAAACATAGCTTCAGGTTTTTCTGGTGTTCTGTGATGCTGGCAGGTGTCTATACTAACGACCAAAGGCATAATGTCCCCTTTACGCCTCAGACAACTATTCTCCCCTTACACGGTGTAGCTTTTAACTGTGAAGGGGGAAAACAAACTAGGCCGGGGTTTTTCTTTTGTTCTGGGAGCGACATCCAGCCTTCTCACACTTTGAGTGAATCTGTATTTTCCTACTTCAGGGATGGATTCTCATTTGTGTTTGCTTTAATTTCCTATTTTCAGAAATACTGAGGTTGAGTCAAAAGTTCTAACGGCCCACGCACACCACAAAAAGTAAATCTAAAATGTTTACATGATTTAGTTGTTTCATATTTTATTTACAGAGTAAGCTGATTTATGTTCTGTACGTCTAATTTAAATGGGACTCTTTCAAAGAAACTCCTCTGGAAACCGACTGTTCTTATTTAGCCACGAGGATCCCATTGAGATACAACTTCTCTTAATTATTACACTTTTAAACCAAACTCGAGCAAAAACACTAATTCAATTAATCTGGGAGTTGATTGACAGAGTGCCGAAGATGGAAGTATCAGCTTCTTAAATGTGAGGATTTTTGTCTTATACTGAAAATATTAGGACAAAATGTTGTATTGTTGGTCGCTGTGGATAAAAGGGTTAGCTGAATGAATGGTAATGATCCCAAATAAAAGTTAGTTTAAACATTTATTAAAGGTGGGGTATGTAATTCACTTCAGAAACACTTTTTGTTATATTGGAATGCTCTTAACATCCCGATAGCAATGAATATCTTAAATGCTTAAATTAAAAGCACGACCAATCATCTGAGCCGTCCCAGCTAAAATAACTGAATGGCCTACCTGCCTGTCAGCCTTCCATCTCGTGCACAAATGTATCTCGTGCCCTCATTGGTCATGTGCGCGAGCTGGTTTCTCCAAAATTACATACCCCTCCTTTAACTAATATCAATGCCTCAGAATTTACACTAATTTGTACCAGATAACATGAAACGATGCGCTGTATTTCTTTCACTTCGACAAAATGATTCACACTGTTCCCAGACGAAAATCTCCTCAGATATTAATAATGCTTGTATTAACTGTACAGGTAATTTAAACTCTTGTATCTGTCATGATTTATCTGCCATGTGTCTGAACTCTCAAGATGTAGCACACGCTATAACACCAGGGTTAGTTAAATTAAATTACAATTATTAGTCATTTTAAGATATTATTGTTGGCTTCTTTAGAGTTTTCTGCCACTTTACAGACCTAACAGGTGAATTAAGGTGGTAGTAGTAATCGTTAGTTTAAACCTTTATAAACTAATCCAACTCGTATCAATGCCTCAGAATTGACACGGTAATTTGTACCAGATTACGTTAAAAAAACAAAACCAAGATTTTAGTAATGATGAAATGAATCTCTTTCACTTTATTTAAAAATAATTTAAACGGTTGTATTTGAAGGTCCTGAAGATATCTTAAAGGTCACCTATCATGCTATTTTTAGGCAATAGCATAGGTCTCAGATATATAAAAATATACGGTGGCCCTGAAGTGCAAGACACTACAGCATTTCAGAAAACACCACAGCATTTCACATTGGACGGAAAGGGTATTCCTTTAGGGTGAACACTTCTTGTTTGTGATTGGACAGAGCCAACACCCGACAGCGAAAGATGTCCCAACACATCAGCCGTTAGCACACACTCAGAGCTCACAGCTCCTCATATCTGTTCAGAAACTGGACAAAAGTTAAACATGTACAAACCACAGACTGTCTGTGTCATGGGGAATACAGTCGCTGCTTTATGTATGTCTGTATGACGTTGTGAGTGTGGACGGAGCAGCTACAGGTTAGTTTAGCCCAGTGGTTCTCAAACTTTTTCTGTCAGGCCCCCCCTTTGGAGAAAAAAAAAAAGTCGGGGCCCCCCCCAACACACATAGTCAGGCTCAGTGGCGGCGCCAGAGACTTCTTTTGGGGGTGCTGTGGGGTAGCTTGACGTTTCATAGAGGGTGCTCAAACATTTAGGGTTTCCCATTAATGTACCGGTCGCTACAGTGGAATTTTCTACTGCAACACTCTCCACACGCACATACACAGTGTTCCCGCAACTGTTACAACGAAGGCTCGATAATCAGCTCACGGCATATAGGTGTAAGCAGGGGTAAAGTGCTATTTTTATAGGTGGTGTGTGGATACATTGAGAGCAAAATGAAGAGATCTATGGATACCTCTCAACACCCAGATGAAACGGAACTGTAAACAGATGTACTTTTTCTTTATGGATATTTTACAAATCACCCTTTTAAACTTTTTTTTTTTTTTAATATCATATAGTATTTCATACCTGTTTTCAATTTATTCTCTTATTTTTGTATAACTATAATGATCATATAAATGTGTGCCTCGGAAATAATTGTTTACATTAATGGTGACCAAAACGTTTGAGACCCACTGAGATAACAATGAAAGAGTCCTTTAGTTCACTGAGCCTCTCAGTCTGACAGGAGAGGACTCTCCTCCACTTTGTTGTTGAAAAAACTCCTTATATCCGTTAGCGTAGCTCGCTAGCACCAGAAGCTAAGAACAACGATCTCCGGTACCGGTGCGCTCTCTCTCTCGCGCGCACACAAAATGGCTCGTTCCACACACACAGAGACCCAGACGTAATAGTACTGTACTGTATCATATTATTTTCGAATCAATAATTTTTCAAATTATGATTTTTTTTTTTTTTATTATCTTTTTTTTTTTTTTATATAACCATTTTTCCTCCTGGTCTTTCGCGCCCCCCCTGGCATGCCTCTGCGCCCCCCAGGGGGGGCGCGCCCCACAATTTGAGAACCACTGGTTTAGCCTGATGGATCCGATTCCATTCAGAAAATACGCATTTTAAAAGCTTTTCGCCTGCCGTCTTATCTGCAGACTTGTCAAAGCGTTAATTTATGGTTTTTACTAACCGTTATCAGTATGTAGTTACTTCGGCATCACTTTGAAACGTGTATTACAATTAAATCACGGTCAAATATGTTCATTTTGTTGTAGTTGGTATCTCCCATAGGATTTACATGGAGATACGCCCCGCCCCCTCTCAGCGCGTCTTGTTTGAATGACAGGAGCAAACACAGCTGACAGCCGCGGTGAAACTCGAGCGATTAGAGCGATGCGAATATTGGGTGGTCTACCATAGTATTTACATGGAGATAAGCCCCTTAAAAACCATGAATGAATAAAGCATTAATTCTGTGTTTACTCCGGTCATTCAAACAACATGCTGGAGAGGGGGCGGGCCGTATCTCCATGTAAATCCTATCGGAATCGGATCGATCAGGCTAAACTAACCTGTAGCTGCTCCGTCCACACTCACAACAATGTCATACAGACATAAATAAAGCAGCGACTGTATTCACCATGACGACAGTGTGTTTTTTATATGTTGATCTTTTGTCCAGTTTCTGAACAGATATGAGGAGCTGTGAGCTCTGAGTGTGTGCTAACAGCTAACGGCTGATGTGTTGGGCCAATCGCGAAGCGTAATTTCTTGACTGGCAGCAAAAACAACCAATCACAGCAATGCTTCTATGGCTGGCTCTGTCCAATCACAAACAAGAAGGGTTCTCCCTAAGGAATACCCTTTCCGTCCAATGTGAAATGCTGTTGTGTTTTGTGAAATGCTGTTGTGTTTTCTGAAATGCTGTGGTGTTTTGTGAAATGCTGTGGTGTCTTGCACTTCAGGGCCACCGTAAAAACATGTCTATGAAGTGTTTTGCTCAAAATACCAAACAGATCACCCATTCAAGCCATGCCTCATATCCCTCTATTTCACTTCCTGTTTCAAAAGTGCTGATTTGGGTTTAAAGCTTTACAAAAAAAAGGAGGGGTCTGAGCTCATGCGGGACCCGGCAGCTACTACTGTCTAAACTAAATACTGCGGTGATGAAACGCCATATCATGGATTATCAAGGATCATTTGTGAAACAGTATGGAGCTCAAAGGCTTTCTCTCTTGCCGGTTATACCACAAGGTGAGTTCCTTTTTATTTCCTGCTTCTTCACACACACGGGCCGTTTCTCAATCGCGAGGATACTGGCTTCCAAGCCAATATTTCAACGCTACGTCATCGAGTGCCGCCGAAGGACTGTTCCAATCTCCAGCATACTTGGAATTCCACCGAGGTTTGGGGGAAATTCCGAGGCTGCACATGGGTAGACTTCGCGTCCTTAAAATCCCCACAATGCTTTGTATTGCGCACGGACCAATTTCAAAAACCCTTGCGGAGAATGGCTGAACCGACACAGCACACATTTAAATGTAAGTATGTAGTGGCGTAGAACATGTGTTGGTAAATGTTACTTTGTTGCATTTGTTTGTTATCACCAAAAATGTGTTCCATGAAAGTAAAGCAAGTTCATAATTAGATAGACATCGTGAGGTATTTATTTTCGGTACAGTTTGTTGAAACCGTTAGAGAGAGTGGCACGCTTGTTCCATTCTTCTTCGTTTTCCGAAGCCGTGGCTTGGAAGCATACTTGCTTCGTTTCTGAAGGAAGTGACTTGGAAGTACGCGAATACCAAGCCAGCATCCTCGAGATTGAGAAACGGCCATGCTCTCCAGTACAGGTTAGCTCTGAGTGTTAGCGATGCTAATGTAAACACCGACCATATTACGTCCAAAACAGTCGGGCATTGTTTCTGATAGGGCCGTGGAGCCAGTCTACATTTCCGATATTACGTCATATCGAACCCAAATCTGGATCACCGTTTTTAGAGTTTTGGGTACGGAGGAAAAAGAGAGGGTTTTATTTTCTGACGCTGCGTGAGTCCCCCAACACACCGGGGACCAGGCGCGCCGGATTCATTTTAGAAGTGGGGGGGCCAAAAAAAGTGCGTGTGTATGGCCCAATCCCAAACCACGCCCTACACCTACACACACACCCTCCGTGACGGAGTGAACTCCGTGGAGTGACATATGAGGCTCCCTCCTGTCAGATGGAGGGAGTAAATACAGCAGCAAGCTTTGGGACAAACTCCCCTCTCTCTGGCAGAAACAGGAAATGCGTAACTGTATGTAGGACTAACAACGGTTTCAAATCAGCATCTCTTAGACAACAAATGTAAATGAATAACTCAAATAAAACTCCAAACATCTTTGGTTACTTTTTTGTAAAGCTCTTTTAGTTTTAAACCTGATGTTTATAAGCTTCTTAGTTTTTGCAATAGTCTGTAAATATACACAACTTTATAATAAAATGCACACATTTACCTTTTTCTAGACTAAACACAGGTATGATCCTAAGTTAAATAAATATGAGGTCATCATGAGGTTGTTAACATCGCAATTTATCACTATCGTTTAGTGGGTTTGCAAAGAATGAACCACTCTCTGTTTTTGTACCATTCTGCGTTGAAGTACCTTCTCTTTGCTCAAATAATCTACTAGCGGTCTCCTTTTTTCCGATAGTTAGCTGTACAGCTTTACCCGCCTCAATGTCCCAACAACAAACCTCCATGCAGTCGGAACCAGCCTGTTTCGGTTCAACGGCGGCGGCGGTGGGGGCGGCGGCGGTTTTGACAGTTTCTGCGGCCGCAGAGCTGCTGCTTTTGGGTTCATCTGGCTTCGCTGCTTCTATGATTGAAGAAGGTCCAGGCTCCGGAGATGTGGATGTCAGGGATGTGACCTTCCAGTTGTTACATTTAAGTTTAGATTGACTGTATTAGTTTTCTTCTGCGCTGGTTCTTCTGACATGTTTGCAAGTGTATATATTATTTCTAGGTTAACGGCTGACACACACAGAACAACGTAACAAATAAAGTAAACAACGTAACAAATATACAAATCTAAGCTTTTTTATTGGTTGTAATTTACATGGATACATTTGAATGGTGTGACAATGTCCTATTTAATTGGGTTAAAATGTACATATTCTTCCTGTTATGTCTGCCTGCTTTATTTTACCTAATGCAAAGTTACCTGCTGCTCCATCGAAATCAGTCGCATTGACCCGAAGACATATTTTGATTCCTAGCTTTCTAATGATATCAGGATTGTTTTTGTACTCCAAATATTAAGCAAAATATGTCACATTATATAATGACTGTTACAGAGTCATCATTTTGAGAAAAAGGCCTTTAAAGTTTTCTCTTCTCTGGAATCCATCATTTCTCATCATCAATCATCATGATTGATTATTAGCGGAGCAAATGATCAAAATACTACGGAGGAAAGATATTTTCGTTTGGATTACTGCACTCACGAGAAACACCGGCTGTTGTTATGCCTGCTGTGACGTTAAGCTACTCCGTTCTCCGCTTGTAATTATGCCGTCACAAGCTTCAAAGTTGTAGGCCTATTTATCATCTGAATTTGCCGAAACAAGTTTAATATTCTGAAAGCCAAGACTTTGCTTATTTGAAATCAGATAAAAACAAACTGTAACGGACCCTGCCGTGTTATCTATGATTACTATACACCTTACATTAATAATTTCAGCGGGAGGGAGGGGGGCGGCGCTGAGGAACAGCAGAGTGGCGAGAGCTGTCATCTTCCCTTTACAAGCTTCAAACATGCCTGTAGCTAATGAGATTGAATATAACCAGGGCTGCACATAACTGGTGCGCATGCGCACCTCCGCCAAACAAAGAGCACCGGGTCATTTGAAACAAAGCGCATTTGCGTACCAACATTGAGAGGGAGAGAGGGAGAGAGAAAAGAGAAAATAGAGGAGAGATGAGAGATGAGAGAGAGAGAAGAGAGAGAGAGAGAAGAGAGAGAGAGAGAAAGATATTTGCGAGTTGCATATGAACCATGATATGAACTCAGGGCCGGCCCGTAGCGCTGGCTAGATGTTCGCCTAGGGCGCCAGATCTGGGGAGGTGCTGCGTTCTGGGAGGGAAAAAAACATTTTGACCGTTGGGGCTCATCCTAATTTTCGGCCTTGATGTAACAATATTCACAATTAAGTAAATGTAACACCCTTTTCACCCCGGTTCCACCTTTCATTTGCCCTGTACGATGGGCGCTGTAAGTGATGAAAATGGGGGATGTTGGCTTATCTGGCGCCCGCAGCTCACAGACAAAAAAATGCGAGGGAGAGAGGTACCAGCGCTGTTATTATAATCTGGTGCCGTGCTAGCTGCTCTAACGGAGATAAGAAGAAGATGTTTCTACAATAATGTGGAGGGAGAGTCCTCTCCAGTCAGACTGATAGGCTGATAAGTTAACTACAGCTCAGTGAGGTAAAGGACTCTTAGTCTAAGTTCAAACGGTTTGGTCACAATTTATGTAAACACATATTTCCAAGGCACTCCTTTGTAATTATTGGGATAAACAGGTTTTAAATCATTCCAATGTATACTATAGGACAGTAACCAAAAATATCCTTTAAAACTGGAGAGATAAAAAAAAAAATGCATAAATAAATAAATGTTAAGGTAAAATAAGATATGAATGAACAACACAAATAAAATAAGTTACATTAATTTGTTATTGGCTATGGTAGGCTATTGGTTATGTTCACATACTTATTTGATTACATCCACTTGTCTAAGATGACAACAGAGACTTTCGACCCAAAACCAGCTGTTGACTTGTGGATGCAAGCAGCTAATCGCAGACTCAACCAGAGAGAAAGAAGTAGGCCTACATCATCAGCTACCATGTCTGACAGAGAGGAAGACAGTGAGGAGAACAGTCAGGAGGGTAGTGATGACAGTTTGTAGGATTACTGGTCGTGCTAATGTTGTCTTGTGTTCACCTCTGCATGTGTGTTCTGTGTTCACCTCTGCATGTGTGTTCAGTGCTGTGTGTCTGGCAAATAAAGTCAAGACCCCCTCAAAAGTTACGGTTTATTTCATTTTAAGGATGAGCACCAAGCAACATCTCCAGGTGCTCCTTTGAGAACCAGGGCAAAAAAGTTATGTGCACCCCTGACTATAAGAGTTATCAATAATGTTGGATATCTTGAACACACTAATGTATTATTTTTGAAGTCACACATATTGAAGTTCATTCATCTGGTTAAATTTAAAACGGCACAAATCATGTACAGAGCCAGACATAATCTACTTCCTAGGAAATTAAAAACACTGTTCATAGACAGAGAGGGTGGGTATCATTTGAGAGGAAATCTACATTTTAAACAACTCAAGGTCAGAACAACTCTGAGAAGTATGAGTTTAACAATCTGTGGGGTGATTTTATGGAATGGTTTGGAGCAGGAGTTAAAACAAAGCACAAGCATAATTCAGTTTAAAAGGATGTACAGAAACACTTTTTTGGAAAAATATGAGAATGAAGAAAGGTGATTGAAGACGAGAAATTATTGTATATGTATGTATACGTGTAAATCTAAGTAGGAATAACTTGCATAATGATTTAAAGGACAATCATTGATCAAGTAAGGGGTGGGAATTAATAAGCATTTGCTTCCTCCTACTCCCTTTCGGACACATATGATTTATTATTATTATTAATATGTAGACTTTTTTTGTTGAATATACAAATATTACCATGAATGGATAAATACTGTATTATAACAATACGGTATTCTGTTTTTCACATTTGTTATTTGTTATTTTTGAATCTGTTCGAAATAAAGACTGAAAAGGAAAAAAAAAATCTGCTGCTGCGAAAATGTGGGGCAGGGCTGAAAAGTGGGGGGGCCAATGGCCCCCTAGCCCCCCCGCTTCCGGCGCCCTTGCCGGGGACACATGTATGTATAAAAGACATAAAAAAGTGCATTTTGCACTTTAAATCTATCTCCTCAGATATGAATATTGTCTGTATTAATTGTACAGGCACGTGTCATTTAATCTCTCCTATCTGACTTTTAAGTAATGATTTATCTGAAGATGTAGCACATGCTATAACACCAGTCATAAAACACGCTGTATAAAGTTTCATTAACTCGGGTCATACTGACACCAAGTTCCACTTTTATTTCAAAGAATGAAAACATTAGGCATTGCAAGCGAAGCATCATCTGAAGGCTAAACTGGAGCTTCACTCAGGAAACTCCTCCTAAACTCCAGCGCTCGGCCCTGCTGAGGATCGACCGTCCGTCAGACCGGAGTGCTGGTTCGATCCCCAGAGCTCACACACAGTGACGTCACCACTGAGGAGGAGGGGCTAGGACTGAAGGTGGTCTGGAGCAGGGGGGCCGGCCTGTCTGCTGTCATCGGGAAGTGGCAGCTGGTGGAAGTGCTGCAGGGCTTTGGAAACCTTCTCTGGACAAATGTTGTAAACTGGATGAGTGGGAGCCTGAGAGAGAGTGAGAGAGAGAGAGAGAGCGAGAAATATGAACCATAGAAGTAGCACAACAACACATAACAGCTGTTCATCTCCTCACAGCTCACTCTGCCTTCTGATCACTCCTCTACTTCATGTGTCTTTCTTTCTTTTTACATTTGATACTTGCGGTTTTGTAATATATTGTTTTATGAATGAATTGTATTCATTTCACTATTGAATTGTATTATCCTTGACGCTTTGGCAATATTGTTCACCTGACAGTCATGCCAATAAAGCAAATTGAGAGTGAGAGAGAGAAAGAAATGTAACTGTATCATAATGTGCATTTAAACACTTACGTATATATACATTTAAGGCCGATTTTTGCAATTTTTCGAAAGCTTAAATGAATCTGGTTTGGTTGTTGTAGAATTTCGGTGTTACTTATAACAATGTCTTAGTTCAGAATGAAACTAAATATATCTTAAGCTTCTGCACTCTATTAAGATGTATCTAAATGGTTCTGTGTTTATGAATGAAAATAATCCCTCAAATATAAATAAAAAACTGAGTGAACAGAATTGCAAGAACATCCGATAAACAATGCAATTCATTACAACATCCTTAAATGAAATGCAACTGCTCCTCTGTGTTTTGTCAACTCTAGTTTGTGGTAGGAGACAAACGGTGCAACGCAGTCGAATGCCACCTCAAAACGTTCCAAAGTTAAATCAACACGACACCAATTACAAAAGAAATAAGAAGATTTTAATGCTCAGAGACAGAATAACACCAAACCCACTGTTGAGTTTCTGTTTGGCTGCTTCATTTGAATCTGTATTATAATCTAAGAGGTGATATACGTATGCATACAGGGGAAGACTCAACGCACTGTTGTTGCCAGTAACAACAGGAAGCAAGAAAATAAACCCACTGACGGCGCCACCGAGAAACCACATGCCGTCTTATTTTCAACACCCCCACCGTCGGTGCTTCTCATTTTGTATCTGCATTCAAATGTACCCTGATCAGGAAGTGAACCCATAGACCGTCACTTAAAGATAAGAGGCATGTCATTAAATCAAAAGGGTAGAAATGAGGAACAGTGCCCCGCTCTGTTGAATACATGCGTGTTACTGTACTGCACAACATGGCAGATAAAAGAAGCTAATAGTTTCATAATGTACCACATGGGCACATCGAGGCGTTGCTGAGACTCAATTAAACGTTTTCATTAAGGTTACATTTACTTTTCATTTTCAAGGACCTTAACTATTACATTGTCAAAACTGATAATCATGTTGTTTTGTAATAAATAGAATAACCATAAGAAGCCTGAATAATGCTGATGCTTCGTGGACAACTTGACAGATAGATTTCATAATTCCTCATGAGCCTAAACTGTTCCTAGATTGGCTTAACAAGTCCAAGAATGATTCAGCAAAGTACTGTGCTAGATGAAGGACGTTTTAGATTTACACTGCACCGCTGTCTGCTCAGCTTTAACAGTGTTATAAACCAGTTATTCCAAACAAGAGACACTTGCGAATTGTCCAACGTTTCCTTAAAACTCCACCTGCTGCAATTAAACGGAGCATGAAAAGTACAAGCTAGCAGAAAATCAAGATGGAGTTAATGAAAAATGGGTAATGATGCAAAAGCAAGCTTGGATCAAATATATAGCAAGAAAAAACCCAGCCTATAGCCAATACATAACACTACATTTATATAACATATAATGTTAAGTATTTTAGCTTAGGGAATCCTGTGCCAGAAAACAATGAAGTATAACATGGTCGTTAAATGACTTCAACTACACCTGTGTTTCATTTTCTTAAGAAACTGATGAAAAAGATATGACCATAATAACGGAGATGTCTTCAGCAGTTAACCCTATTTTATTCCTTGTAAAAAAAACGATTTATCCGTGAAAGTAAACGATCCATCTCTGATTAAATCCCCCTTTGTTCAGCTGTGTCTCCCCCCCCCTCCTCACCAATCTGTTCTCCTCCTCGCCGAGGATCATCTCGTGGTGGAGGTCCATGTTCCCAAAGTGCTGCGCTATGGAGAGCCCGCTCAGGCAGTAACACGTGTGGTAAAAGTCTCTGGATCTGGAAACATGGAGACAGGAGTAAAAACCACGTGAACCACATTTCACTGTGTATGTGCTGCCACCGGCCTTAAAGGTCACCTATTATACTGTTTTTCATCAATATATTATCGTTCTCAGCAGCGTTTCCGCCAGGGGGGCGTCTTGCCGTCATTTGACGCCCTTATTCAGCTCAGATCGAGAGTTTTTATCGCTTGAAATGACGAAAAGGAAAAAGGACAAGGACATCCCTCTGTTGGAGGGGCAAAGGAGACTGGTGGGATTATTTTCGGAGTATTGAAGATCGCTTTCCCGACATCGGCGGTGCCACAGGACAAAACGGAACGTGCACGATTTGGAGGAGATGGGGGGGGGGGTGCTAGTGGAGCACGCGTGTGAACTGCGCGCTTCGGAGCCTTAAAAGAACACAATGGTGCTCTAGGAGGAGATTCAGGTGATAAGGTGGGGGGGGGGGGGGGGGTTACCTTGGTTGGTGATTGGCTAATGGTGACACAAGCCAAAACATCGTTATGACATCATAAAGTGGCCAAAATCTGATCAACTCATTTTCAGACAGGTTTTTATAGAAATGGATCAGGACAGAAAGTGAGAGAATCTTTGTTCCTGAAACTTTCAGAATCTCTTTCCACAGAGGGGACACATGTTGATGTAGAAGAGACATGAAGAAGTGGATTTTGCATAATAAGTTACCTTTAATGTGTGTGTGTGTGTGTGTGTGTGTGTGTGTGTGTGTGTGTGTGTCCAGATGGTGGTACTCACTTGCCCGGTTTATCCACCAGCCCCCCCCCGGGGTTCTGACAGCAGAGCAGGATGTACTCCTGCAGGGCCTGCTGCTCGAACATCCAGCGCTGCCGACTCAGCTCCGACTCTCCTGGAAACACACGACTCTCACTTTAGACCCATCACTCTCACTCTCTCAAAACAATTACTAAATACATTAGAAAAACATGAAATATTAAAAAAAATGAATCAAATTAAACCAGAGATTTGATGAGTGAATGAGGGGGAAATGTAAAAAATACATTTCAATAAAATAAAAAATAAAAGCCATTTTCAGTGCAAACATTCTATAGTTAATTTTTTTTAATAATTCCTTTAATGTGCTGACTGAGACAGGACACTTTATTAGAAGCTTACTTGCAATTTTTTCCCGAGTGTAATCCTTACTACTATTCCATGATGCATGTTATAATCTGCAATCACAGCATTTGTGATAAGCAGTGTTTTTTAAATGATGTCCTTAAGAAGTCTGTTGAAAAATTACCTTTGTTGTGTGAGAAACTGGAAGTGATTAGCCTGCATTACTACACTGACAATTATTCCGTGAAGCAGAAATCAATTCCCTAATAACTCTGTGAAGCATCTGTACTGATCAGTGAGTTAACCGGTTGCAGGCGTATTATTATTTAAAAGACCGGCACAGTTTTCCTAGTTTACTGTAATAAAAATCACATGTTGTCATTAATGTTTTCTGTCGGCTTTAGGGAACATTTTCAAACCAGGCCATTTTTTCTCTACATGTTAGTGGGGATAATGAAATCAATATTGAGTTGACTCTTAAGGGAGGAAGTATAATGAATGATTAATAACATACTGCAATCAGACTGTGTTTTATCAAGATACACTTAATTACATATTTTCATAAGTACATTTTTTAGGTTAAAATAAATGCAATTACTGGTCAAGTTTACAAAGGTTGTCAACATTGTTTGCGTCCAGTCTGTGTGTTTTCGCAGATATTAAAGTTCCCCTATTATACTGTTTTTCATCAATATATTATAGGTCTCAGATATATACAGAACATGTCTCTGAAGTGTTTGGCTCCAAACACCAAACAGATCATTGTAGCATTACCCATAATCCCCTCTGTTTCAGCCCTGTTTCCAAAGTGCTGATTCTGTGTCTGTTACTTTAGATGAAAATAAGGAGCCACTCCCCACGCCCCTCTGAGAGAGATTTGGTTAAGAAGAACACAATGGTGCTCTAGAGGAGATTCAGGTGATAAGGTGGGGGGGGGGGTTACCTTGGTTGCTGATTGGCTAATGGTGACACAAGACAAGAAATCGTTATGACATCATATTGTGGCCAAAATCTGATCAGCTCATTTTCAGACAGGTTTTTATAGAAATGGATCAGGACAAAAAGAGAGAGAATCTTTGTTCCTGAAACTTTCAGAGTCTCTTTACGCAGAGGGGACACATGTTGATGTAGAAGAGACATGAACAAGTGGATTTTGCCTAATAGGTGACCTTTAAAGAATATGTTTCCAGCCTCAGGTGCTTGACACATTAACAGTACCTTCTTTGAACAAGGCTCTGTGCAGCAGCGGCAGGAGTCCAGCCTGCCAGAAAGAGTAACAGCCGTCCACCAGCTTGTTGCTGCGGCCCTGAAACCCCCCCTCAAATCTCATCTGTCTGCTCACCACCCACCGCTGAGGAGGAAACAGGAGAAAACACATTTAATACAATCATTAAGGAGAAATACAGATACCAAATAATAATATTTTAGATTGAACATAATCAGTAACATGGATATAATGAGTTGGTAAGCAAATAAAAAAAAAGCCTGGAAAGTTGTATAACCTGATCATTTCCAGAGCTGAAGCTACACAAGGTCAACACGATGAAAAATGTAAATTGGAATATCGCTGCCATGGAAACTAATAATTGGTGTACATCCAGTCTTGCTCAGCTTTGATTTAGTAACTAGGAAATATTGGGTTTAATACCAGCTGGGGCTTTTAATCCTTGGAGGAACATGGAGGACAACGTTAAGCTTATTAATGCTCGTTCAGAAATTCATTTGAGAAATTATTCAAAAATAAATCTGAGTGTTTTCAGTGAGGAAAGAAAGGAACATTTACCACAGAGGGGGGGGGGGCAGCTGAGCCAGTAAAGTGTACTCAATGTTACAAACACATGTTTCTGCAGATAGCTACACCACATGAAATACAGAGGAAACACACTTTGAACTCAGTTCACTGTAGCCTTCAAACATTTTGTGCACGGTGTAAAACATTTGAATGAGACTTTCAAATAGTTATTTAGCTGTAATGTGCTCACCTATCTCTTCATGAAGTCAATATGAAACTTGATAAAAGGCATTTGACCTGAAATGAACTTTGATCTTCACCATAAATGCGTCATCCTGTTTAGTTTAGTACCGTCTTTATTCGATCCGTGTGATGCTGTGGGTATTATCCTGCTTCCTCCTCTCTATACTCCACATGTGATCATGTTCTCTTGAAACGTCTCATGTTCAACTGAAGCACCTGACATTGATGAATTCATTGCAGTGACATTTATACCTTTTTACTCTTCAAACTGTGACTGTTCAAAAGACCTCATGAAAGACGATACAAGAAGTGAGGATACCCGGCCCGGAGGAAGCCCGGGGTCCCCTTCTGGAGCCAGGCCCAGAAGGAGGACTCGTCGGCGAGCGTCTGGTGGCCGGGCTTGCCACGGAGCCCGGCCGGGCCCAGCCCGAAAAGGCAACGTGGGCAACACCTCCGCTTCTCCGTCCCGCGGGCCCACCACCTACGGGAAACATCAATGGGGTCGGGTGCGCTGCCAGAAGGGTGGCAGTGAAAGCGGAGGGTCTCGACGGACCAGACCCGGGCGACAGAAGCTGGCTTTGGGGACGTGGAACGTCACCTCTCTGGGGGGGAAGGAGCCGGAGCTTGTGCGGGAGGTGGAGCGTTACCAGTTGGATCTGGTTGGGCTCACCTCTACGCACAGCGTCGGCTCTGGAACCTTACTTCTGGATAGGGGTTGGACTCTATTCTTCTCCGGAGTTGCTCAAGGTGTGAGGCGCCGGGCGGGTGTGGGGATACTCACAAGTCCCCGGTTAGGTGCTTCGTTGTTGGAGTTTACCCCAGTGGACGAGAGGGTCGCCTCCCTACGCCTGCGGGTTATGGGGGGGAAAACTCTGACTGTTGTGTGTGCTTATGCACCCAACAGCAGTTCAGAGTATACGGCCTTCTTGGAGACCCTGGAAAGAGTCCTGTATGGGGCTCCTGAAGGGGACTCTTTAATCTTGCTGGGAGACTTCAACGCACATGTGGGCAATGATGGAGACACTTGGAGGGGCGTGATTGGGAGGAACGGCCCCCCTGATCTGAACCGGAGTGGTGGTTTGTTACTGGACTTCTGTGCTAGTCATGGATTGGCCATAACAAACACCATGTTCGAACATAAGGATGCTCATAAGTGTACGTGGTACCAGAGCACCCTAGGCAGAAGGTCCATGATCGATTTCGTTATCGTATCATCGGACCTGAGGCCGTATGTTTTGGACACTCGGGTAAAGAGAGGGGCGGAGTTGTCAACTGATCACCATCTGGTGGTGAGTTGGGTCGAGTGGCGAGGGAAGCCTCTGGATAGACCTGGTAAGCCCAAACGTGTAGTTCGGGTGAACTGGGAACGTCTGGAGGAGGCCCAAGTTCAGGAGGCCTTCAACTCACACCTCCGGCGGAGCTTTTCGGGCATTCCTGTGGAGGTTGGGGACATTGAACCAGAGTGGTCGGTGTTCAAAGCCTCTATTGCCGAAGCCGCGGCGGGGAGCTGTGGTCTCAAGGTCCTAGGTGCCTCAAGGGGCGGTAACCCTCGAACCTCCTGGTGGACACCGGTGGTCAGGGAAGCCGTCCGACTGAAGAAGGAGGCCTTCAGGGATTTGTTATCCCGGGGGACTCCCGAGGCAGTTGCAAGGTACCGACAGGCCCGAAGGGCAGCAGCCTCATCCGTGGCCGAGGCAAAGCAGCGGGTGTGGGAGAAGTTCGGAGAAGACATGGAGAAGGACTTTCGGGCGGCACCAAAGTTGTTCTGGAAAACTGTCCGACACCTCAGGAGGGGGAAGCAGGGAACCATCCAAGCTGTGTACAGTAAGGATGGGACGTTGTTGACCTCAACTGATGGAGTGTTAGGGCGTTGGAAGGAACACTTTGAGGAACTCCTGAACCCGACAACTCCGCCCTCTATGTTAGAGGCAGAGCTGGAGTATGACGGGGGATCAACACCAATCTCCCGGGGGGAGGTCACTGAGGTCGTCAAACAACTCCACAGTGGCAAAGCCCCGGGGGTGGATGAGATCCGCCCGGAAATGCTGAAGGCTCTGGGTGTTGAGGGACTGTCATGGTTGACACGTCTCATCAACGTTGCGTGGAAGTCGGAAACAGTACCGAAGGAGTGGCAGACCGGGGTGGTGGTTCCCCTATTTAAAAAGGGGGATCAGAGGGTGTGTGCCAATTACAGAGGCATCACACTACTCAGCCTCCCCGGGAAAGTTTACTCTAAGGTACTCGAAAGGAGGGTCAGGCCGATTGTCGAACCTCAGATTGAGGAGGAACAATGCGGATTCCGTCCTGGTCGTGGAACGACGGATCAGCTTTTTACTCTCGCAAGGATCCTGGAGGGGGCCTGGGAGTACGCTTATCCGGTCTACATGTGTTTTGTAGACTTGGAGAAGGCGTATGACCGAGTTCCCAGGGAGTTACTGTGGGAGGTGCTGCGGGAGTATGGGGTGAGGGGGTTCTCTACTCAGGGCCATCCAATCTCTGTACTCCCAAAGCGAGAGCTGTGTCCGGGTCCTCGGCAGTAAGTCGGACCCATTTCCGGTGAGGGTTGGCCTCCGCCAGGGCTGCGCTTTGTCACCAATCCTGTTTGTAATATACATGGATCGGATTTCGAGGCGTAGTCATGGGGGAGGGGGTCTGCAGTTCGGTGGACTAAGGATTGCACCACTGCTTTTTGCAGATGATGTGGTTCTGATGGCTTCATCGGTCTGCGACCTTCAGCACTCACTGGATCGGTTCGCAACCGAGTGTGAAGCGGCTGGGATGAGGATCAGCACCTCCAAATCTGAGGCCATGGTTCTCAGCAGGAAACCGATGGACTGTCCACTCCAGGTAGGGAATGAGTCCTTACCCCAAGTGAAGGAGTTCAAGTATCTCGGGGTCTTGTTCTCGAGTGAGGGAACAATGGAGCGTGAGATGGGCCGGAGAATCGGAGCAGCGGGGAGCGGTACTGCAGTCGCTTTACCGCACCGTTGTGACGAAAAGGGAGCTGAGCCAGAAGGCAAAGCTCTCGGTCTTCCGGGCCATTTTCGTTCCTACCCTCACCTATGGTCATGAAGGATGGGTCATGACCGAAAGAACGAGATCGCGGATACAAGCGGCCGAGATGGGTTTTCTCCGCAGGGTGGCTGGTGTCTCCCTTAGGGATAAGGTGAGAAGTTCGGTCATCAGGGAGGGACTCGGAGTTGAGCCGCTCCTCCTTCGCGTCGAAAGGAGCCAGTTGAGGTGGTTCGGGCACCTAGTTAGGATGCCACCTGGGCGCCTCCCTAGGGAGGTGTTCCAGGCACGTCCAGCTGGGAAGAGACCAAGGGGTAGACCTAGGACCAGGTGGAGGGATTATATCTCTTCGCTGGCCTGGGAGCGCCTTGGGATCCCCCAGTCAGAGCTGGTTGATGTCGCCAGGGAAAAGAAAGTTTGGGGCTCTCTGCTGGAACTGCTACCCCCGCGACCCGATCACGGATAAGCGGGAGAAGATGGATGGATGAAACTGTGACTTTCAGGGTTTTAACACTCGCTGTATACGATCTTAAGGAGAAAGCGTTCACCACTACATTATTCACCAGCGTAAAAAGAAAAACACAACAAGGCCATATCAATCTAAGAGTCACCATGAATCTTTTCTTTAACTTAGAGGATTAACCATTTGATTCAGAGATGAAACCTGAAGTGGTTTATGCATCACTCCATAAAGGACGACATTATGCATAGTTTCAATAAGAAAACGACGGATAAAAGATCTCATCCCTTTGTTAAAACCATCATTATTGTGCTACTGTAAACAGAGACTAGATTCTTCAGGGACAGATGTGTTATTTTAAGATGCAGATGTTTTCAGACGTGTCTCCCGATGAGATCAATATACATCTCTATTACAATATCTCTTTTGAAGTGTAATCTAGGAATACATTATCATTTTTTATGCTATACTTTGGGAACAGTCTTATTACTCAAATCTATTTAAGTTTTGTGTATTAGGGCTTATATTATATTAAAGAGATGGTACATTTAAAAAGGGGTTATTGCTAATACAGGTTATGGTCTTCCAAATCTATTTTCTTCAGACCAAAACCAAAATATATTTGATTGATAATTATAGAAAACAGAAAGACAGCAAGTACTAATTTGAAGAAGCTGGAACCACTGAATATCTAGCAGGCCTTGAGGTTCAAAGTGTTGAAGACTATTTTCCATCAGTACTTTAAAACCTGACTGAGTTGTGGTGCAGTGTCGGAGTGAGTCATGCTGCTGTAGATATCGTGGTGTCATCTTACAACCTTTACAAACACCGTCTCTGCTCCAATCACACTCAGGCCAAACCTCTGAGACAGATGCTTACTGGGGGGGGGGGGTTCTTTGATACAGGATATTATACAAACCTGTGAGGTTGTCATATACAAATGTCCTTTCATTGCCACATAGTTGAAATATATGCAGAACAACAGCGACAGTATGATACCGTGGGGGGGGGGGGCATTTCACTTCCTTGTGCAATATAAACAATTTGTATGGTTTATAGAGGACATATCCTGCTCATTTTCAGGTTCATTTGTGTTTTTTGCCTCTATGTTTACTTGCTTTAATTTTCAAAAAGTGCCTTATTATTCTCATACTGCCTGTGCTGCAGCTCGTCTTTTCCCCCTTACTTGAATCCCTTGAATGTAACAAGACTGTTTTACATTTATAAATGTATTTTATTAAAAATGTTTTTAATGTAATACTGCCTCCTTCACGTCGAAAGGAGCCAGTTGAGGTGGTTCGGGCACCTAGTTAGGATGCCACCTGGGCGCCTCCCTAGGGAGGTGTTCCAGGCACGTCCAGCTGGGAAGAGACCAAGGGGTAGACCTAGGACCAGGTGGAGGGATTATATCTCTTCGCTGGCCTGGGAGCGCCTTGGGATCCCCCAGTCAGAGCTGGTTGATGTCGCCAGGGAAATGAAAGTTTGGGGCTCTCTGCTGGAACTGCTACCCCCGAGACCCGACCACGGATAAGCGGGAGAAGATGGATGGATGGATGCCTGTTCAGTGTTCACTATTTCATCTATGTTCCCTAACTTCTTTTTCAATGTTTTTTAATAGTGTGCTGGACTTGGATTCAGGGGATAGCAAGTTCGAGTCCCACTGCAGTCAGCATGTCGTTGTGTTCCTGGGCAAGACACTTCACCCCAAATTGCTCCTGTGGGGATTGTCCACAGTACTGAATGTATGTAAGTTGCTTTGGATAAAAGCGTCTAACAAATGACATGTAATGTAATGCAATGTACTTATTTGATTTTACCAACGTATGCTTCTTTATTTAATATGTTAGTCTACTCATGTATCTTGCCTCTTATCTGCACCTTCCCCTTTTCTGTAATGTCCTCGTTGTGACTCCAATGAAGGATATCTGATTCAGATATCCTGATATTTAGAGTTAAAAAAGAGACTTGCTGAAGGAACTAAAGCACCTGACCGAACACAAGATGTTTCTCCTTTTAATAAGAGAGGTGAAAACAAAAGAGCTTCAGATTACTGTAAACACTACTGGATCTCTTTTGTATTTTCCCAATGACCTTAAGCATTGTGTCATTAAACCGAGTCCCTGAACACATCTCTACCCAAACTAAAGCTCCATCATGGCTGCTGTCCTGACCTCTTCCCTCTCTGCAAGCAGGCAAATGACGAGGATTTCCCGCAGTGCTTCTCAAAGTGTGGTCCGCGGACCACTGGTGGTCCGTGAGCGCCCCCTAGTGGTCAGCGAGTATATTGGTAACATTTCACATTTGAAATAAATAAATACATTTAAGTTTTCCGCACTCTCGCGGGAATATCTCCGCAATGGAGCGAGCTAAACTTTCGATGGCATGATATAGCCCAGCACAACACCTTCATCACACTTGCTGCCACTTGTTTGTACCATTTTCAGGCGATTTGTAATCTGTTCTAGAAAAACGATGCGATTTTGGATATTTGTGGAGTTAGGTGGTCCGCGAGTGTTTTTTTATTGGTTAAGTGGTCCTTGGTATGAAAAGGTTTGAGAAACACTGCCCTACAGGGATCAACGCAGGATCCCAGCAGAAGCCTCCGTCAGAAAGCTAATAGGGACTTTTTGTCCTCTTGTATGCCAAGCGCCTGGTGGCTGTATAAACAACTCAAATGAAAAAATGTCACCGTATTGCTTCCAGCTACGTCTCTAAATACTTTTATGAGACAGGAAATGCTTTTGAAAACACAATTAAAGGAAAGTAATCGAAGATGTAGGACAAAGTCTGATAAGCTAAACAGACCACAGCTGTGTAATATATCACGCTTAAATTGGCCTGCATTTTCACTTTCACAATGACATCTTGTTCCGTGGCCCTCACAGTTATCAGCAGCCAATAAAAAGGATATATCTGCAGCACAAAGGCTCTGTTGCAAATGATAGGATCTCTTTTAGACTTTAGGACCCGAGCCGAGCCGAACCACGTTATCCTGTTTTTATGTTATTTAAATATGAGTTTCTTTTGTTGAATAACCAACTAAATGTCAGGTTTTCTCACCAGCAATGCTTTAAGATCCAGCATATGTTCTTTTCCCAGGATGACGAGGGCCGCCGTGCCGCAGAAGGTGTACCCGCCGTGAGCCTCCAACCCCGGGACCCCACTCAGACCCCCCTCCCAGTTCTGACAACTGGAGGAAATCAAACACACACCATAAAACACTGCCTGCTTTATGGAGGCTCAAAACACTCATTAATAATTCATCAACAGGCTGTGTGTGTGTGTGTGTGTGTGTGTGTGTGTGTGTGTGTGTGTGTGTGTGGGGTCAGGGTGTACCTGAGGATCCAGGTGGCCGTGTCCTCGAACAGTTTGGGTGTGAGGATGTTTGTGAGCGTCGCTACAGAAGCTGCACAATACGCACTCCTTTAAAAAGAGAAACACACATCAACAACGAGAGGAGTGGGTGGGCAGGAAGTCCGCCTCCACTCAGAACATCATCCAACGCTTTGCATTTTTAGACTGCCAGCAGGCCAAATATAACATTATCTGTCATACTGTAAAGTAGTTTGGGCTTTTGTCTTCCTCTGCTTTAAGAATGTATATCTTTTTTATATTATCATGACATCCCTTGAAGAGCGCAGAAACAACAATGACTTTATCCAACTAATACATCTTATTTATGTTTGTTAAACCTTGACATAGCTTATTCCTGACGGCATAATCAGTGTTGTTATAGTCTGGGTATGCTCAGTGACGTCTACCTGACATTGGGCTATTTATTAAAATAAAGGAAAGTTGTTATTTTAGCTGACTTTCAGACTAGGTTTGTACGACAAGTCATGATTGGTTTCAGCGTGTTCAGAGCATTTTAGATAGTCACAAAAAGATGCCTTAACACTAGTTTTATCAATAGATTTTAAAGGTTTTATCCTTAAATATCTGCCTTCCCAGTGAGCTAACCAATCCACCTATACACTGTATATGTACGTCGAGATACACTTCATCATGTTTGTCTTTTAAATATGTTGCTGTTCAATGTTTTAATTGTCAACAAATCTCCTGAAGAGATGCAACCCATCCCTCTCTGTGGCACTCCCAAGCCCATTTGATAATACCGAGTTAAATCTTTAAAAACAAAGAAAAGGGTCGCAAATAAATAGTTCCATTTCAAAAAAAGAAGGCATTAGTTATTCCCTAAGACAGCTGGGTCCAGAAGCGTTCATACGTCACTAAAGTAGAACTAAATATTGCATTTAACGGGACTATTTAGAGCTATCGATGAATCGACGAAGAGGTTTTTTGACAATGGAGGTCTATGGCACAGAGGAATAAGCTACATAAGGCTTTGGATGCACAATCAATGGCTGGATCAATGTATTCCTGGTTTTGGTGCTTTCATGGGATTTGTTGACAATAAGAAAATGATTGAATATCAATAAACCCTATCCTTAAGTGGGTTAGAGCAAACCCCCTGCTTCATAGGCTAATAAACCCCTTTAAAAGTCAGTCAGGGCTTTTTTTCTTTCTCTCACTGCATGCACAGTTACGATAAAGGGTGTTTAAATAATACAGAATGACAGCAGAACGTTCATTGGTTGGAAACGGAACACAGTTTCCTCTGAGAGTGAAAAAGTAGCTTTGACTTTTTTTTTGCAGAAGATGATCCCTCAAAGCTGCTTATTAAAAACACCCGCCACCACACAGAGGAGATTCTCACACACACACACACACACACACACACACACACACACACACACCACACACACACACACACACACACACACACACACACACACACACACACACACACACACAACACACACACACATCACACACACACACACACACACACACACACACACACACACACACACACACACACACACACACACACACACACACACACACACACACACACACACACACACACACACACACACACACACACCACACACACACACACACACACACACACACACACACACACACCAGAGATGTGGGTATTTCGCCTCTTTTCTATTAACACCAAAGGGAAGTGAAATAAAAATGTATCTCCTACTTTTTGGTGAATACACTAAATATGCTTCAGTAAAATGTAAAAACTCACAATATAAAATAGCACTGCGGATATTAAACATGCTCCTAATCGTGTCTCTTATGGCTGTGACTTCTGGATGTTTCTGTGTGGGGCCTGAATAAGAGATGATGAAGAGAGGAGGGAGAACAGAGGGTGGGGGGTATGTTCTCACCTGATATCCACCTCTCCTCCAACGTGCATCACAAACGAGCCATTTGGCTGCTTCACTGACAGTAGGAAATCTAAGAGCTTCTTCCTGGAGAGGGTCAGCACAGGAGGAGAGAGAGGGGGGGGGTTCAAAGAAGAAGAGGAGGAGGAGATGTATGGGGACGAGAAGAGCGAATAATATATAGAGTAAAGGAGAGGGGATGAAAGGAGAGGGGATGAAAGGAGAGACAGAACAGAGGGGAGGAAGGAAAGTCAGAGTAAGTGCTGCACGTTATGAATACAATTGACAAATGATACATCAAAAGATTGATATAAATGCAAAAAAAATATGAGTCAGAATTCATGTCAACACAAACGTTAAAAAGTTAAATAAGGTATTTATTAAATTATAACATCATCATGATAATTCTAACATGCTGCTATAACCGAAATATTAGTACTTTTAATAAGACATTATATTGAAAGGGGTTTAAAGGCTGAAATAAATACATGAATTTCAAATATTATACTGGCACTTATTATTCTATTTATAGTATAGAGGCAGGCATGTGACCACAGTATAAAAACCCAGTGATACCTTCAGGGGGCGTTGATACAAACAGTGTTGTGTATATTCTACTATGTGGAGTATATGGTGTTATCTCTCTCCTACAGTGTCCTTATGTGATGCTCTGTGAGTCATAGGCAGTGGTGTAGTGGGGATTTTTTTAATGAGGGGAGAGATACTATGGACGCGCTCGTGAACCGTCAACGGGGGGGGGTACACTGTGGACCTCTGTGTCGCCTGTCAGCGCAACTTACAGGATGCCGTTTAAAAAATATAATAATAAAGGGCGGTGCTTTTTGGGCGGAGCGACGCTGGGTAAAACTGCAGTGGCGTCATCTTCAATGCGACACAACTCACAAAACACACTGTCCCCCCTATTTCGCAAATGAGGGCCTATAGGCCCCTTGTCATGTCTGCCGATATCTGGTTTTCTTATGTCTGTTTGTTTTTATCTGTGTCTATGTTGTTGTCAGTGATGTATTGTCTTAACTTTTTTAAATGCCTCTGATGTGCTGCAACCCATTTTCCCCTTGGGGACTAATAAACGAATACTACTATACTACAATGGAGGATGTGGAAGCGATCGTTTACTTGTTTCTTGGTGTGTGGCTTGTTATCACTGTCACTACCCGATCCGTCCCCCTGCCCGATCGGTACTGCGCATGTGCGAGATGGTCCGCCATATTGGACAACTCCGGACGGCAACCCAAGTAGGACACTTGACACAGTGGCTTTTAGCAAAGCTCAAAAATAAAACGAGAGAGAGATGAGTTATTGTTATTACAACGTGACTTCACTATTATTTAACAACTCTTTTTATTGGGTTCTTTTATTTGGGGTTAAGTACATTGTCAGAATAAGTGAGAAATTAATGTAACTTCTGTTAGACAGCCATATGCCATACATTTGTGCATACATTCACAGTAAATATTTATTCAGTATGATAGCTGTCTAACAGAAGTTAAATTAATTCCTCACTTATTCTGACAATGTGCTTAACCCCAAATAAAATAACCCAATAAAAAGAGTTGTTAAATAATAGTGAAGTCATGTTGTAATAACAATAACTCATCCCTCTCGAGTTTTCTTGTTGAGCTTTGCCAAAAGCCACTGTGTCAAGTGTCCTTCTTGGGTTGCCGTACGGAGTTGTCAAATATGGCGGACCATCTCGCACATGCGCACTGCAGATCGGGCTGAGCTGCAGATCGGGTAGTGACAAGTGACTGTCTCTACCCGATCCGTCCCCCTGCCCGATCGGTACTGCGCATGTGCGAGATGGTCTGGAAGTCCGGACGGCAACCCAAGATGGACACTTGACACAGTGGCTTTTAGCAAAGCTCAAAAAGAAAAACCGAGAGATGAGTTATTGTTATTACAACGTGACTTCACTATTATTTAACAACTCTTTTTATTGGGTTCTTTTATTTGGGGTTAAGCACATTGTCAGAATAAGTGAGAAATGGATTTAACTTCTGTTAGACAGCTATCATACTGATGAATACATATTTACTGTGAATGTGTGCAAAAATGTATGGCATATGGCTGTCTAACAGAAGTTAAATTCATTCCTCACTTATTCTGACAATGTACTTAACCCCAAATAATAGAACCCAATAAAAAGACTTGTAAAATAATAGTGAAGTCATGTTGTAATAACAATAACTGATCTCTCTCGGTTTTTCTTTTTGAGCTTTGCTAAAAGCCACTGTGTCAAGTGTCCATCTTGGGTTGCCGTCCGGAGTTGTCCAATATGGCGGACCATCTCGCACATGCGCAGTACCGATCGGGCAGGGGGACGGATCGGGTAGTGACAGTGACAATCACAGCAAGAAGGAAAGTGATCACAGCAAGCGCGCGATCTTGTGACGATTCTCTCTGACCAATCAGCAGTCGAGAGTGTTGACGTCACTAGTTCAGCCCTGGCCCTGGCCTGATAGAACCACGATTTGATGGGGCCGGAAAAAGAGGGAAAAAGTACCCGCTAGCCGGTGCTACGCTATATGGAAAGGCCACCAAAAACTGGCCTGGCCGCTTGAGGACGATTAAGGACGCTTAAACGGGGCTACCCGCTGCAGTGGAAATGCGCCATTAGAAGGAGTTTTATAACAGACGAGTGAACTGAGTTCTGCTTCAACAGAAACTCTCCTGTGTGCTATGTTCCCCTTGGTGTGGTACAAAGGCAGTGGGGTGACGGTACCTGTCTATAATGTTGTAGGACTCCTCTGTGCCGATGATGCAGAGGGCGTTGACCGCAGCGTAGGTCGGGGCCAGGTGGGCGTGTTGGCCCGGACCCCCGGAGAACCCCCCCGTCGGGCTCTGACAGCGAGACAGAAACTGACACACACTGGAGAGAGGGAGAATAATTGTACTTACACACACAGACAGACACTATAACAACGACACTGAAATGAATTATTAGTCAACAAAAACAGGAAGTGCTTCTTGCATATTTGATTAATGCATCTGCACTGGTTATGAAACTGTAACCATGGAGATAGAGCGGAAGACAAAGCATACATGCCTGCTATTCTTATTTCTTTTGCTGCACAATTCCTGTCAGTGTAGTTGACCTTTAATAATAGTTGAACATAACATTTTTACATTTGTATGTATATGTTTCTAGTTATTGTGCTTTTTTATCATGTTTTTAAATTATTGTTTTATTATTTGACTCCCATTGTGTTATTTGATATTGTATGTATTCCCTGTACAGCACTTTGGTCAACTGAGGTTGCTTTAAATGTGCTATAAATAAAGATTGAGATTGAGATTGAGATTGAAAAGATGTAACAAATAAGAAAACATGAGCTTGTTCAAGGAAATGTTGAAGATTGAATCCGGACCTTTTCCTACTTATACTGAAAGAACAGCTAAATATGATTATGTTCTTAAGTAATGGGTCTGCTCCCTTTCCATTTGGGTCAGAACCCAGTGTGTATCTACTTTAGCAGAGTGACACTCGAAAATAATATGAAAATAGATTAAGAATGTCCTTTAAGATTCGAAAACAAATGCCAACACTTGTCGACTTATACCCTAACATGGAGATACAGCTTTTCCTCACATTAAAACACACACAGTTGCTATCTACGTCTCAGTCAGCAGACTCTAGAGCTGACGTGGCACTGGGCATCTGACCCACTGTTTAATATCTTTCCAGCCTCTGTGCACTGAGCTGCTTCCCTCATAAATGTCCTCTTTATCCTCAGCCATGGAGAGAAATCACAAAACTGTCGTGAGCCAAGTGAGTTGGACGAGAACGCCACGTTAACTTTGGCCAGCACTGACCTGAGAACAGTGTGCATTTCATGGGATGGAGAAAGCAATCTGCTGTATTGTTATGAATCCTCAAACAGGGCCTGTGTGTTTCTCTGCGAGTGTGTGTGTGTGTGTGTGTGAGCGCAGGGCAGTGCCATCCGGTGTGTTGGCACGCCTCTCAGTCGTAATGAGCGCGTGGGCTGGCAGCCTGGCATGGCCGTGGCCCCGGGAGTGTTAGTTTGGACTGGCAGTAATTTAATCAAATGACATTTCGGTGGCAATAAAAGCATCAGCGTTTAAAGTTACTGCTGCACAAACATTTCTAAAATGATACACTCGCTTGTCCAATCAAAATTAGGGGCCATTATGATTGGAGGAAAAACATGAATGGACTCTTACTCTTACATGAGTATTCAATCCTATGGGGGTTTAATTACAGATGAGCAGTTATTTCTAGAAAGGCAGGAAATGATTTAACAGCACAACCCAAACAAATGTCAATCCTGGCTTGGGGAAAATGGATTCACACATGGATTATTGGTCATTATAGGATCATTTAAGGTATTTATTTTTGTAAAAGTGTGCTCTGAATCTCTGAGGATTGTCTTGGTGGGGTTTTAGAGCCATATTTGATTTATTAAGCTTCGGAAAGAAGACATTCGTTTTACTGGAACAGGTTATTTTGTCATGACTGGTGTGTGTTCATGCACAGTATAATAATATGTTTGCACCAATGACGTTTTTAGTTTTAAGATGAATTTCTTGTTGTTATTTCTGCATTTCATCTTGATTATTTTCTTAACGTAAAGCACTTTGAACTGCCTCGTTTCTGAAGTGTGCAATAAAAAAATCACTTGCATGCATATTGCATTACTTTATTATGACACAATAAACAACAATTAATAGCATGTCGTACAATGAGTTTATGAGTAGCTGCTGCAGTTCATTATCCAAGTGTTTGCATTGCAGCAGCATTTGATCACTACTAATTATGGGAACTGCTTTATGCAAGGGTGATAAATAACAAAAAGCATTTGGCAGTGCCTCTCAGTATTAATCTTGCTGTAGAGAGAGTGTGTGTGTGTGTGTGTGACCCACTCTGAGGCGACAGCAGTAGGAATGGGCTCCTCCAGTAACTCCAGACTGTGAAGAATCCAGAAGCACAGCCACGGTCTGCTGGCATCCAGACACTACACACACACACACACACACACACACACACACACACACACACACACACACACACACACACACACACACACACACACACACACACACACACACACACACACCACACACACAACACACACACACACACACACACACACACACACACACACACACACACACACACACACACACACACACACACACACACACACACACACACACACACACACACACACACACACACACACACACACACACACACACACACACACACACACACACACACACACAATTATAGCAATAAACAAGATCAGTCAGTCGGACGGAGACGAGAGGAAACAGAGCAGCAGAGGGCGGGCCTTCAGGAGCAAAACTATCACACTGCTTATTCTCAGTGTTGGGTAAATATACGATGAGAAAATAAACAGTGACTTGATGTCTTTTGTGTTGTTTTTCTTACATTATATCATGACTCAGCTTCTAATTTCCTTTTCCAACAGTGCTGCGATGTTTACGCAGAGATAAGCACCGTGCTGTCAATCAAAATAAACAGTTTGAGGTCAGAACAATGTGTTACTGACAACGAATGCTTTCCTCTCTATTTTTCAGGAGAGAGTGACACACAAAAAGAGAGGCGACCTTCCTGAGAGTGGGGGGAATACAATGGTATTTCTATTTAAAGCAGGGAGATAATCATCCAGAGGCAGTGAGAGTTACACAGGAGATCAAGTGAAGAGGATGTACTGTATGTGTCACAGGGTTAACAAATATCCATAAACATGTAGTTAGCAGGTGTAACACGGTACCTCATAAGCATCTGATAAGTGACGTAAGCCCTTCTTGAGATATTGGTAGTGTTGTTCCCGCAGCAACGTTGGCCTGAAGACAAAAACAAAGGACAGAAAGATACATTAGAAATAGGCAGCAGAAAATGTTAAAACAGATATTTAAGAAACACCTACAACATATTCACTTCCAATTCAATTCAATTCAAAACCTTTATTTATCCAGGTGAAATCCCATTGAGATCAATGATCTCTTTTGCAAGGGAGACCTGCAGCAGTAGGTTCCACAAGAAAACATAAACAACAGAACAACAAAAGGACATCATACAGCAAAATGTACAGGGATTACAATTTACATATTTAACCACAAGTACAGGTACCAACAGCATCTGATTTTGTAGCATCCAACCGAGCTTTAAAAACATGTAGTGGTACTAGCTTGGTAATTTTCCATTCTTTTTGCAGACTGTTCCATGTTAGTGGAGCTGCACATCTAAAAGCTTTCTTCCCTAAGACAGTCCTAGCACTTGGCACATTTAATAAAACCACAGCATGCGATCTCAGGCAATAAGTACTTTCAATTCGCAGAGAGATCAGGGAGCAGATATAAGATGGTAGTTTATCCAACATGGCTTTGTAAATGAAAAAGTACCAGTGACTGAGCCTCCGTACGGTAAGTGATGGCATAACCGCCTTGGTATACAGGGTACATTAATGCGTAAGTGCTTTACAATTTGTCAAAAATCTCAGTGCGCTGTGATACGCAGCAACATTCCAATTCACTATCGTTGTAGAAATGCTCTTCTTGGACACACTAGTTTTTCTATTTTGAATATCATGTTTAAGTCATAACACAAAATGATAAACGGTTCATTAATGTTTATGTTCAGTTTCTAACACATAATGTTCCCTCCGCTCACAAGGCTTTTTAGAAATATTATCTATTCAAAATTCAACATAAAAAGAATACATGTAAATATTTGATGGAAATGATGATTAGGAACAAAAAGGAAAAAGGAATATAAAATCCAACACACTTCAATTTCAGAACTGCTGTCTCGCCTGGGTTATTGTTATGTGGCATACATCCATCTATCATATAAACGCATTTATAAAAACAAACATGAAATAAAAATAAAAGAACACTTTGTTGATCCCACGCAGGGAGCAATAGATAGAAAAGTCACACACTGTTCTCTTTTATCATTATAATGTCAGCGTGCTCCTCAGTAGCTTTCATCTGACACACACACACACACACACACACACACACACACACACACACACACACACACACACACACACACACACACACACACACACACACACACACACCACACACACACACACACACACACACACACACACACACACACACACACACACACACACACACACACACACACACCACACACACACACACACACACACACACACACACACACACACACACACACACACACACACACACACACACACACACACACACACACACAGAGTATTTCACAGATCCCTGCCCTAGCATTTCTGACTTTACATTTCCTGGATAGTAAATTCACAAATAAGACAACATTTTCTTTTATTTACGGAAACATTTATGATCTACCTAGAATGTAAAAAGGCAGAGCCAAAAATGCCCGTGTATTAAAGTAAATTATTGTTAATTTAAATGCAAGAAAACTATTAAAGTGCTTAAGTACTACAAAAAAAATTTACTTTAAAAAGGCACGAAACAGTTGCTTTGTTACTTTTTTAATGACTTTTGTTTTTATTATACCAGTTTATTACAAAAAACACAATAATTACCAACTGCTTTGTTTTAAAAGACTTGAAATAAAGTCTGTTTTGCCCCAGTGTTTATTTTTGTAAGATTCTCATGATAATCCATATTTGATCTGGCAGATGTGGGTGGAAAATATTAGTTACATGTACAAAAAAAACACATCAGTACATTCCTGATTAAACTGATACAATGTCAGGAAATAACCAGAGCCTGGACGCTTTGCTTTCATGTGTTATGTCTGAAATTAACCTCATAACCTTTTCATATAACTACAATCCAAAAAAGATGAAAACTAACCCTCTGTAACTCAGAGTCCACGCCACACAGAAACACATTATCTCTACTTGCATGACCTCTACTGAGAAATACTGCTTATTTACTTGGAGTACATTTTCCCTTTGGCTGTGATGCAGGTCCACGCAGTTGTCATAGAAATGAAATGAGAGTCACCCCACTAGGAAGAGGCTGATGACAGCTGATAGCAGCAGCAAAGTATGTGGGCTGATCCACAAACCAATTAGAAAACAGCCGCCATACATCACCGTGCAGCCGGCGCTACAGGCTAACAGCAGGTGGGGGAGATACAAACAACCAATGAGCACGGCTCTAATGGCAGCCAGTGTATTCAATATTATGAGTCCTGTGATTAATGATCGTAACTAAAGCCACAAATTATCTGACCAATTAAATACTGCTGGTTTTAAAAGGGCAGGTTTTTTTTAATGTATTTATAAATGTTTTTTATGATTTACTGAGTTCAGGTCAGGCCAATTTTGTGTCCTGATTTCCCTCATTTGTTGTACTACTATCCTACTACTACAGAAAAGCAACTTAATTTCCTTTCTATACAAGCAGACAAGCCAGTTCTGAATCTCTTAAAACATGTACTCTACTGATTTAGCATTTAAATTGTAAAGTAAAACAACATTTAAAAGTGCAAATCATGCAATACAATACTTCATACTTAATATTTATGATATCAATCCATTAAAGAACAACAATGGCTTGGATGTTCTTTAGGTTATTTTATAATACATATATTATAATATATAAGATTTTAAAATAATATCTGCAGGGCAAAGTTTTTCTAAAGGAATATGTCCTTAAAAATACTTTCTTGTTAGATGTCAGTTATATCTCAATAAGCAGTAAGTCAGCGGTGTCAAACTAAAGGCCCGGGGGCCAAATCCGGCCCGCGACTATATTTGATGTGGCCCGCAAGAGCTTGCAAAGAATATAATATGTATAGTTTATTAGTTTATTATACGGTTGAATGCCACTTTACAGAAGCACGTTGTCCATAAACTACATGTCCCACAATCCATCTCATTTTTTGACATGCACACTGAAGAGATTTGCAATGTTTTGCCCCAGACTTCTGCTTTCAGACTTAGTTAGTTATGAAGTTATTACCCTATCCAATAATAATCCAATGCAGAGGCAATGATGTAATATAATACATTATTTTATATGTATGATATATTTATATATGCATTTATATATAGTCTTAAAGTTTTGAACTGGCTTTTAACACTAGTTGAACATAACATTTTGATATTTGTATGTGTTAACATGTGTTTCTAGTTATTGTGCTTTTTATCTTATTTTTTATTATTGTTTTATTATTTTACTCCCATTGTGTTATTTTATATTTGTTCTCTGTACAGCACTTTGGTCAACTGAGGTTGTTTTAAATGTACAATATAAATAAATAAAGATTGAGATTGAAAGTCACAACCGGCCCTTTGAGTGCAACCATGATGCTAATGTGGCCCACGATGAAATTGAGTTTGACACCCCTGCAGTAAGCAGTGAATAACATCGTCACAACCACTGATGTAAAAAGAACTGAGACCTAATGGAAAAGCATTAAAACCAAACCTAATCGCTGTTAATTAAGAAACGTCAGCTGAAGCTGCACAAACACTTTTCTTTTCTAGATACTTACTGTGGTAAGCTGTGCATTTGCTTGTAAACACTGACGACTTCTTTAATGCTGCGTTCCACCTTTTTCTGGGGCAAAGAAAAGTAGTGGAAGGAGGAGAGTGAAAACAGTCAATATAAAGGTCATTGTGAGAGAAATAATATAAAAAGCATGCATGATAAACACTACTTACAGTTTAAAAACCTTAATATTATAATTAATATTATTACATTCAACTTTTTTGGCAGTATGTTGGTACTAATCAGCTGATGGATGCAAATGAGCTGTTGAGCTAACCTCAACAGATGTTTGACAACATGCACCCCCTTATAAATATGAAAGGTTAACACAATCATATTTATGGTAATCCTGTTTTTGACCTTTATTAGTTCAACTGGAATGTCACTTTGGTTTCAGGGGTCTCTTAATTGCTACTGTCCTGGATGAATATAACCACACACTAACGATAGATCAAGACCATGACATATCTGTAAGGTTAATCAGTGCTGTAAAGTAACTAAGTAGATGTACTCAAGTACTGTACTTAAGTACACATTTGAGGGACTTTACTTGCTACTTTGTACGTCTACTCTACAATTCATTTATTTTGTACCTTTAGTTAGTTACTAAATAAGACGTTAGTTGCACCTGGAGTAACATTCACAACATTCACCCTGCAGTATACAAAGCAATTCAAATTAACTGCACCCTTATTTATATTATTCTGAAATGGGCAAATTTGCATAAAGCATACTTTGACTTGTATGCATTATGCTCGTAGGCACATTAAGAATATGTTGATGCTAATCCTTTTGTCCTTTTACTTGAGTAACATTTTGATGCATGACTTTTACTTGTAACAGAGTATCCCTACAATCTGATACTTCTACTTTTGCTTATGTACAATATCTGAGTACTTTTTTCACCTCTGAGGTTAATTTACGAATATCTATAGGTGTGGGGGTACTCAGGTTTAACTGTCTAAGTTACTTAGTTAAGAGCTAACTGAATGAATGCATAATCTCATTAAGGTTCAATGCTAGCTACTTAAAGGCTTGCTAACTGGAAAGCAGGCTCCGATCATTTGTCTAAACGATGGGCCGATGAAAGCAAGAGTACAGAAATTAAGTGTCTGAGAGTTTAATTGATGTGACACTCAGTAGCTGCAGCATTAGCATTAGCCACATTAGTTTACGGAGCTAATCTGTGCTCACCTGCTCCACTGAAGTCACCGTCTCCACCCCGTCATCCACCAGCATTTCTGCGGAATGATACTCATTGAAGCACCGCAGAGGCGTCGGTACACCGTCCATGATGATGGTGATAGGATCCGTCAGCTGCAGGGGATGCTGCACGTTTTAAAAAACGATGCTGTAGGTTTGTTTTGATAGTTTAGTGTCAGTTGGCTCCGCTCACTTCCTGCTCAGGTTGCAGGGGGGCGGAAACTGCGCGAGCGCCAGCTACGGCGACTCCAAGGGAACAAAAACCTCCGTCTGTCACTGTAGTGCGAGAGACAGCAAAGTAACACACACAGCCGCTTGTAAGTGTTTCATGTGAGTTTTATTAAATATTATTAAATTATGGGTGAGCCAATGTTCGTGTCCCGTTCTGTTTCATTCATATTCTGCTATTGGTGTTGTTAAATTGACGTCGAAAGAAGCAATGCCACCACACGCGGTAGTTCTTCCGTTGATCTGCATCAAGTAACAACAAACTAGCACCGGAAGTAGTTTGACTTATCCTTCAAATTAAAAGCTTAAAGTTGCTCCCAAAAGTAACAAACCTTTCACTTCAATAAAAATATCTGTTTTCATATATTTGGAAACTTATGACTGTCAACCAGACACAACATTTAAGTGTTATGCAGCCCCAGAACATTAGGGGCCCTGAAGTCTCATATCACATATCTCATGGCTTCTTTGAAAACCATCGTCTTATTGCAACACCTGAATCATCAGGATACATTATTTCAGGTACCATTATTTGAATAGCCACTATTTTAAATAATGTTTTAAGGCCTTAAATACTAATTGTATATATGACACATTTTCTTTATAATGCACTTTACTAAATACAGTGTGTGTGTGTGTGTGTGTGTGTGTGTGTGTGTGTGTCGTATACTTCTGCTCCACTACAATGATGTAATGGCTCAGTTACTTTGACGTTTCAGATTAATGATCCAAAATATGATAATGATTAAATATGATAATTGATTAAATATGATATATTTTTGATGATATATGAATAGAATAGGATCACACGTAATTGATCCATTGGTGGAATTGCTAAGCTTCATTATTTAAAGTGAGTACTTTCACATGTTGTACTTAAAGTAGGCTACATTTATGATAATGCTTTTTACATTTTACTAATAATTTTAGTTTCAGGCATTCAGTAATTCCACATATGAAAATAGTTATTAACATTATCATGACAATCTTGAAGTAATAACAAACATCATTCGAATATCCCTTCTTTGTGCTAAATAAACCAACATGTTCTCAAACACTAAAGGCTTTTATTTTGAAATGCACCACCGGAAATACTCTTTTTGATGGGGTCTTACTTGACAATGGTCCACCGCACCCACTGGAGCTGGAGGCTGCATGTGAAGCTGGAGCATCCCCGTCACATACCGACCCAGCATCAGAGAACACAAAGAAGCGAGGAGCCAGCCCAGAGCCTCATGTTGAGTTTTTGAGCAGACATGGGATGCAGGTGGGGAGGGATCGGTCATCCATCGCTGACTTAGCTGACTGGGGTTTCTTTTTAATTCAACATTACATCCAACACTATGGCTAAACAGTACGATGTGCTCTTCCGACTCCTGCTCCTCGGAGACTCTGGGGTTGGGAAAACATGTTTGTTATGCAGATTCACGGACAACGAATTTCACCCGTCTCACATCTCGACCATCGGTAAGACTCTGCACTAACACCATGACTTATTTCTGGATCCTTATTCACCACATGTGTTAATTAACAATCCCATTTATTTGCATGGTTTTATAACGTTTTCTGTTGATGTTATTGGCGCATCAACCTCCCTTTGTAGCCATTGCAATTATCATTGAAACCCCACAACTAAGATGTGCTAAGGAATGTAAAAAGGAATTGTTCACATTTAACTAGAACAGCACATTACATAGAGTGTTATCTATAAAACCAGCTTAATTGCATTAAGTGGGGAAGCCCTCAGGGGGACGATCTAACACTTAGCAGCCATGCAGATGAGTTTACACCAACTATTATCATCTGGCACTGATAGTGTAAGCAAGTGCCATGCCACATTTGGTTAAATAAAGGTCCTCGGTGTGGTTTTGTTAAAGAGATTTTTGAGGAGACCCTGACCTAGTTTCAATTATTTCATGCTCAATAACTATGGAACAAATATGATGTTTTCATATTCCCATATATCCATGCAGTAAACAATGGCAATTTAAAGGCATCAGCTTGAGATCTGGTGAACTATTGTTGACCTTTTTGACTATTTTCTCAAATTACATTGACCAAATGATTCAATTAACAAAGGAAACACGTCCAGTTCCTTGCTCTTTTAATTCAGAGTACATAGAGCAAACTAACACTTTATCTGTCCACCCTTAATCATGGATTTGCCACATGCAACCATCCTGTTTTTCACAGTTACAGGAAAGCGGGCTGTGCAGTACATCTACCTCCATAGTTAGGATTCAGTGAAGAGGATGATATGTGCATTACCATTCTGACTTTGAGGTGTTGGAAATAAGGATGTACAGTAAGCAGTGTTTTTCTTTCCTTTACAAGCGGTGGTTGTGTCACTTATCTCTTCTTCTTCTCCTGTGGCAACAAAGCTGCTGTTTCTGTGCTGTGTGCAGTAATTGGCCGTGATGTGGAGAAGACGAAACGCAGACATGCTCGAGGCAAAGTCAGGAAACGTTCCTCCTGGTCGTGATGGATAGATGACTTTTTGTTGGAGAGATATGCTGTAACATGTTGTCATAATAAGGTCAAGAAGATAAATCATGACGCTGACAGATGGGTCCAGGAAACATAACAGAAAAGACAACGATAACACAATCCCACCATTAATGGTTCATGTTAACATCATTTGGAAGCTTTAATGTTGAATCCAAAGTATTGAGTGCTCAGTGGACTACTGCAAAACACTTCACAGCCACAGCACGATGCTCAAACTCAAGTTTTATGTTCATCACGCTGCACTTTGAAGGCTTTTATTGTGCCCAATGCTCCATCCTGCAGCTCATAAGGCTTACTTACACCGCAGTATGCTATTTTAAGTCAAGCACCTATAGCGCTCTACAGGACACTTCCGCCCCTTGGAGTCAAGCTCACATAACTCCGAGCCCTTCTAATGTCTCTAACAAGAAAGGTCCATCCTGTCTGCATGGAGTGAACCTTTTTGTGCTTTTGTTACCGAGTGTTCACAACCACAGCTGGATGCTTATAAATCCGTCTCTTGTGTCGGTGCCGGCGGTGGATTCTAGATATTTGTATTGGACTGAATAGTTGTCTGCGTTTGTAAGCCGTCCTGGGGGGTCTTTTCACAGCCATGCGATAATTCAAACTCCTCTTCAGACTAAACAAGCCTAACACAATCTAAAGAGACAGAGAGAGATCAAGAGTGACCACCGCCTGTGCTCTCCTGAGGAGAATCAATACATAATTTCCCAACCTTCATGGTGACAGAGGGATATAAATTCTCTCCAATGTCCCCCTCATGGGAAGCTCAATAAGTCATCCGTTTCCGACACAGTCCACTCGCTCAGGTTTTTCTCTTAATGATCTCAAAATCCCGCACCCCATAGAGAGTTGTAATCAAAGCAAGTTTTTCCGTAAACATCAGAGGATGAAAAGCTGATGGGAGTCTTATTTAGCATCTCCTGCAGATTAACTTATAGATAAACCCCAACAACGCATACACTCAGCCAGCACTGGGATGATAACTAGACGCAGATTCACTATATTATGGACAATCGAACATTACTTCTATGTGATTGATGAATATCTTTTTCCAAAGCCATGCCCTTCACTCTTCTTTCAACACTTTGTACAGGATTTTGAGCTCTGGATGAAGGGTTCGCTCCCTTTCAGCCACAGGAACATTATTTCAGTTCATCCCAAAGGTGTTGGAAGGTGTTGAGTTCAAGGCTCTACAGGCCCTTCAAGGTCTTCACCAAACTCAGGAAACTTTAAGATCCTTGTGATGTACATGAATGCATTTTCATGTTGTTTTTTGGCATTCGATGACAGATCAATGAGAAAACTTTACATTAGTTAACAGTCTTAACAAGTTACGGTATAGTTTAACCTTGCGGTCTTTAAATTCTTTCTGTAATCCTCTTAAAATCTGAAGGATGTTCTGGGCTTGTCTTCAGACTATCAAAACATTTCCCACACAAGGTGAAGAGTAGAAACTGCAGAGATCTTCATTCGAATCCGCCGTCGCTGAGTCACAAAGGCATTTTGAATATTCATTGGGCACTAACCAAAAAAAACACACCTGGCTTAAAAAAGGACTTCTTCCCTGGTTACAGCTCAGTAAAACATAACTAATCAAACTTTTACTCCCCTTCAGTGTCAGAAAATCAAACTAGTCCAGAATCATTGGCAGCAGGAATTTTGATCTTACCTGACGGATAATACACCCTCACTCAGAACACATTCTCTGGCAAAGAGCAGCTGTCGAGATGATTTATTAATGCTATTCAGTCACACTGCTGAGTTTAATCTTCCTCTCCGTTACCTCTCCCCTCGCCCCCGGAGATCCTGACTGTCACAAAACCCATAAAGTTCGAGCCGGGCCCTGCCCTATATCACAGCTCTATCAGCAGCTGTCTTCATGCTGCTGGTCTCAGTGGTGCTATGGTCACAGCCTGGTCAAACACTCAGCCCACCGCTGCTTGGCGAGTCTAAAGGGACGGGCGTCGGATCACAGCCTCCGTGGAGCTCATCAAGCAGGGAAATCAGTGGTGCTGTCATTGCATTGATTTCCTCCTGGCTATAGGAACTTTAAAAAGTGTCCGATATCTCTGAAAGTTATAGTTGTAGCCCGACCAAATCTGGACATTTTAGGTCAACAAGTTGACAACTTGCGGTCTGAAAAGTGAAGCCAATGTAGGAGTGCCCTAAACCTGTATTCTTTCTGATGGCCAGGAAGCTGCAAACATAAGTCTATAGAAGTCTATCAGAAAATGACCCCACTCCTCACTTGATGTATTACTCTATTAGCATTTTCCTAAAGAGTTTATGGTTAAGGCTATTAGTCATTTAAAGTCTTACTTAATAGAGCAAGATGTTGTGCTGCCATTTATGCTGAAATAGAGGATAAAGATATGCTTTAGGGCGTGGCACAACAACTTTAACCCTTTAACAGTGTGTTTTCATGTTCAGTGTTCAGTTATACTTGGCTCGATCCTCCCTCTAATTATGATGCCAAAAAACAAGATGGCAACGACTAAAAAACAAATGCAGAGGTTTTATACCGTCGTCTCAAAACCAATGGGACATCACATTCACTACACCCATTTATTTTTACAAAGCCTATTCTCTGGAGCCACGACACACTTTACACAGCTTAACATATGCAGTAGCACTCCTTGAAATCTCTTGTTGTATTATATTATGTCAGACATATATCTTTGGCGTTTTCTGTACTGGTAGTCATGGATTTGGATTTGTTTTCCTGATGGTCTACTCTTCTGTTTTCATTTGGTTTCACCCTTTTGAAAGAGTCATTTCCATTTCCATCCAATACAGGAGGTTAACACAACGCTTAATTGTTCAGTCAAGATTGATAAAAAGGTCATGATTGAAAACCTGTCCTGCTGTGCTCTAAAGAAAGCAACTGTTGACGGTTGTTGGCTGTCCTCGGCTTGTGATGATAGTCATGGATCTCTGACTTATTCCCCAGTGAAATTGTGTCACAGGCAGAGCATCCATCCGTCCATCCATTAGTGAGCCTGTCGTCATTACCTACAGCACACTGACACGTGTCACCGCCTAATCCGTCTTGCTTAGTCGAACACAGTCATCCTATTAATTTGTCAAGTCAATTTTGGGTGTGTACCCATTAGTTTTTACATGGCTTTCACACTGCTGATTGTTAAAGGCTGCCATGTTAAATGAACTGCTGTCAGTCCTTGCTCTTTGTGCTTGTCTCCATTGTCACGGTTCCTTACTCTGAGAAGAGAAGAGGGAACCTTTCTGAAAGCCATAACAGCTGAATTATTCTTAAAAATTGACAAATTACAGGGCAGGGGTGTCAAATTCATTGTTTCTTATACTTCGATTTTCCCTGACCCTCTCAAATATTCTCTGTTTCGTATTTAACTGAATATCTTTGGATTGTGCACCGACAATACAAGGCATTTAAAGACATCACCTTGGAAAGGACATGTTCACCATTCCCTGCATATTAACCTAGACACTGTGTTCCCTTGCAGACCTGTCTGACTGATTCCTGATACTGGTATCATATTAATGAAGGTTGCTATTGAATGGCTGCAGAGCACACACACCTGTAATCTCTCTAAAAGCAGTAACAATTAAGACTTTCTACACATCCTCTCATGCAGGTTGAGAAATTGTGCAGCAAGTGTTCTGCTGTTGTGATGGAAGCACCCAGAACCATTTAAATAATGAACTTGTAATAGACAAAGAGTTATACTTTCACGACAGCCCTTGGGTGATTATTTTTGTTTGCGTTTTCTTAGTTAAGAGAGCACCTGGTTCTACAAAACAGGCCCATTTTCCTCTGCTTTTATAGAACAATGTAGTCAGATTGGCGACTACACAATATATTTCTTTATCAGCAGGACACAGACAGTGGGGACTGAAATACCTTTTGTTTTTGTAAATATTACTCGAAATGTAAGAGAGGCTTACTGCTGAGCTGTACTTATTCTCATATGACTTGGCTTTGGAGACATCTTGATTTATTTTCAGGTTTCCAGAGTGGGTCACCCTTGTTGTAGACAATTGTACTGTACAGCTGGAATATCCATTAGTCCATGTCTGTACTTTATATTGAAATCAGTCCTGTTTGCACAGATGACTCTAGACTAGTCTTTTGTACAGTGCTAATACAGCTGGACAATAACGCAAGAAGAAAGCCTCTTTTTCACCATCTCCTCTCTCCTCTGCAGCCTCAGGCAAGGCAGACCACTGATTGTTATGCTGACCTTTTAGTGTGAATGCTCTCTAGTCAAAGTCAAAGACCGCCTGACGACTTAAATGAGGCCTCATGCTGTCAAGTCAGTGAGCTCCGTGGAGTCTTTGCTTTACTCCAGCTTGTTTTTATAAAAAGAAGCACAGTGACTAACACCAGCCCCGCTCTGTCAGCAGTTTCTTTATGTCAGTCTCTTCAAAGACAAACCCTGCAGAAACGCAGCTGTAAAAAGTTAAAACCACAAACTGCAGTTTCTTCCAGTTATCTCAATCGATTGGACTCTCTTCCTCGGAGCGTGATTATGTCAGTTTAATTGGGATGAACTGTTAATTGATTCCTCAGGGATTAGTGTGGTCTAGAAGCCTGTGGTTTTGTCCATTATCGACTTGGAAGCATTAGTCTGAGGAGACAGTCATGGACACAGGAGACAAGATATAAAGACTTTAATAGAGGCAGAGTTAATGGTTGAACGTACATATTGAAATGGAAAAAAACCGGACTACAATGACTTTCATGACCTGGAAACACACTGTGAAAGGGTTACATTTCTATGCAGAAAATACTCCTCCGAAACCAGACAAGTCGGTGATATCTATGCTGCTGGTAGCTTATATATTTGTCAATGTTGTTAAACTCTTCAGTTAACTTCAGGTTGAAAATCTAATCACATGTTGGTACAGCTCAAACAACTCTCTCCTTTTCTTAGCAAATCTGGCTAATTCAATATTGTTTACACTCCTCTTAGCTTTGCTAACGCTACCGTAGCTAAGTTGATCAAATATATACATAAATAGGTACATCTATATTTTGTTAAAATACTCTTTTGGGCTTTTCCCCACCCTGACAAAAAAGTATAACAATAGGGAAGTCAACAATATATACTGTAGATTTACTTCACGTAGTAAAAGCATAATAAGCAGAACACATTAAATATCAAAGACAAAGTCAGCTTTATTTGTATGTGTTATACATCCAGAAATCTCGAGATACCGTTTCCCGCAGTCCCACAGTGTGACATATATACATAAAACAAAAACGGCCTAGATAAACGGGGTATACAGTACACTTTAAAATGTTAATAATATCAGCAACCTCTCTCTGTTCACTGCAAAAATGGTTGAGTCTTGCCTGTTATTTTCTGCCTATAAACAGTATCACACTCAGCCGTCTGAAATAGAACAGAGATCAGTGAGGTGTGAGCGAGCCCCTCCCCATCTCAGCTCCTCTCATCTCTTCCTCTGTGGTGTTATGCAGCGCTGTTTTTTTGTTGTTGTTGTCCTTTTCCCTTATTTCCTCTTGTGTGATCAATGAACTAAACGAGGACAGAAACACCCGATCATTAGTCCTATCCTCTAACAGGCAGATTATACAGAGGTGATTGGGTCTCGATGCGTTAATGCTCTCTGTGATGTTACTGCTGCAGATACCAGTGAACCTTACCTGTTAAAAAAACACCCGGATAATTGATTTCAGTTATTGAGTGGAAAGTGGAAACGCCTTAGTCTAAGCACAGCATCAAATACATGTAGAGCTCCTCTGTGGATGGCATATTTACTACCTGTGTGTTTTCTCTCCTACAGGAGTCGACTTCAAAATGAAGACACTAGAAATAGATGGTATCAAAGTACGGATACAGATATGGTAAGATATTGGATGGAAGGTATTGTGTAGGATATTAAACATTTATTAAAGGATATTACACAACAGTAGTTTTGATAAAGGCCATAGATACCATTACTAACAGTGAGGTCATGCTTTTTGTATTTTGTACTTGTTTTGAAACCCAAAGCATTTTTAAGTGACTCCAGTAGTTTTAGACTTAATACGTTAACATGTCACTAAGTTTAAGACATTTAAATAATAATGCTTTCATGCAGGAGACTGGAGTCTGTGTCCCTTCATAAAAAAACTTTAATTTAGGCTAGCTTTTAAAAACTAGAACCATGATATTTTTGTCTCAACTTAATTATAATGTAGTTGTGACGAGAAGAAATGCAAGTTTGACTGTTTTTACCATCTCAGTTTAGCCTGTAAGCGTTTGGTAATCAGAACTAAACCACATAGTACAGCTGAGGGGCATAGGAATGTCTTTTTTTTGCAGGTATTCAGGCGTGAACCTACAGAAATGTAATGCATTCACTTGATTTAATATTTGAAATGCCTCAATATCCCCAAAAGACCTCTGAATTACTTGAGAGCTCCATTTCATGAAAGCAAATATGTCCCATTGGATTGGTTCAATCACTATTTGATTTGTTTTGTCTTTGAGACATTGGGAGATACTTGTGTCTTGAAGTTATATAGTAGGTATAGTAGGTAATCCCATACTATAATGCTATTGAAGGGTCTGGCTGATTAGCAGCAGAAACTGTGCTCCATGAAGCTCAGAGCTTCTCATAGGATTTTGGAGTCTCATTAATTTAGAAAAACATGGCAGTACTGTTTTCCCATCAAACGTGTCCTAGAATTCTGAGATAATGATGTTGGAAATTCAGAAAGAAATAGGTCAAATATATTTTTAAAGACATCATGAAAAAGAATATTAAGGAGACACAGTATATGCCTTAGACTGCTCATTGAAAGGAACATCTTAATAATTGAACATTTTAGGTGTCTGGTGTACTGACTACTGCCCAGAGTCATGTTGTCATATTATAATCTCATATATGTATCTTTTGTATGTTTATGTTTATTTATACTTGTTGTCTTTCCAGGGACACAGCAGGCCAAGAGAGATACCAGACCATCACTAAGCAGTACTACAGACGAGCCCAGGTAGTTTAGCGCTCCTCCATGACTCTGCTGCTGAAAGTTGAATACATATAATCACTACAGTCACGGTAACATTAAATCACAATTATCTCTGAAATTGAATTTGTTACAGCAATTTGTCTAGAATAATCCATGCGCAACACTTAGCTCCATTTCAGATACTTTGGAAAACCATTAAGTTGATTTTAAAAAGGTCACCTATTATGCAAAATCCACTTTATCATGTATTTTCTACATCAACATGTGTCCCCTCTGCGTAAAGAGACTGAAAGTTTCAGGAAAAAATATTCTCTCTCTTTTTGTCATGATCCATTTATATAAAAACCTGTCTGAAAATGAGCTGATCAGATTTTGGCCACTTTATGATGTCATAACGATGTTTGGGCTTGTGTAACCATTAGCCAATCACCAACCAAGGTAACCCCCCCCCCACCTTATCACCTGAATCTCCTCCTAGAGCACCATTGTGTTCTTTGTAACCAAGTCTCTCTCAGAGGGGCGTGGGGAGGGGCTCCTTATTTTCATCTAAAGTAACAGACAGAGAATCAGCACTTTGGAAACAGGGCTGAAACAGAGGGGATTATAGGTAATGCTGCATTGATCTGTTTGGTGTTTGGAGCCAAACACTTCAGAGACATGTTTTTTTATATATCTGAGACCTATAATATATTGGACATCTATTGGTTTAAAGTTTTTAACGCTTTAAACCATCCACATTGTGAAAGTATTTTATATCCCAGCGTTAGCATTGTAAGTGAGGAAGATGTTTGCCAAACACAACCACCAATACTCTGACATTGTTGTGTATGAACCATGAACCATGCCTTTGCTGAAATTGAATTGTCTGTTTACCAGAAACTGCCTTATAAATGTTGTTCTGTTCCTGTTTAGTGCTATAAAGTAATTCAGCAGATTTCTCATTCAGCCGGTGGCTAACAATGTAAAATAAATTGTTGGTAGAGGCTGCCAACTTCCTAAGTGGTGGTCTGGATTTTTTTACAGGAATCGTGGTATTGTTTCCAGCTTTTCACTCAATAGTGCACTGGTTCTCATCGGTTTGTTTTTAAACATCTCTCTTCAGGGAATCTTCCTGGTGTATGATATCACGAGTGAGCGATCCTTCCAGCACATCATGAAGTGGGCCAGTGATGTGGATGAGGTGAGTCACAGAGATTGGGGATTTTTTTTCCCCGCATTATCGAAAGAGCAAAACTGACACGAATACTCACTGTGAAAATGCCTCAGTTTGACAAATAACAGATGTCCGACGTGGTGGGATGAAAACCAACCTGACGGACATGGCTGTGCTGTTTTTATCGTAAACCATCTTCATTTTCAAATACCATTTGAAAGTGTAGTCATACATATTGGATGGAGAACATTTATCATCTTGCTTTGTCCCATTTTTCTATTGACTTTGAGTCTTCACAAAGCAATCTCATCGTCTGGCCTGCTTCTCCCTGACATTTCCCAGATGATTTTATTTGATTAATTTAGTCATGATGGACCTAATTTCCTCTTTGTGTCTGACCGAATATATACACTCTATTTATTTTGGCACGTTCCCATTTACTTTTAATCTAGGTCTCATTTCCTGAGCGCTGTGTTTTCTCTCCTCTGTTGACATTTGAAATCTCTCTTCCTATCTCTGTTGCCCTTATATCATGCTTGTCTTTATATATCCCTGGTTTTCTTTATGTTCACATGACAAACCCCTGCAGTACGCCCCGGAGAAGATCCGGAAGATCCTTGTAGGGAACAAATCAGACGAGGTGGACAAGAGGCAAGTGGCCACAGAGCAGGGTATCAAGGTGGGTCAAACACTGGCTCTGTGTTGTCACTATTTCACCAAATACAATGTTATAAAACACATCATAATAATGCTGATTTTCTCCACCAAAAGGGTGTAACCATTAGGCTCAGTGTGTTCTGTAAGAAAATGTTTTCAAATGTGGATGAAAAGGTTGATACCACCATTTCAGACAGGGCTGGAGAAAGTTAGCTTAGCATAAACATATAAATACCTCTGAAGTTTACTCGTTTTCCAAAGTGTATCTTGTTTTTTTATCCTGCTTAAATGTGCTGTTAAAACAACAGTATTTGATCATTTTGCTAAGTAGCCTTACTGTAGCTAAGCTAAACTAAAAGCTTGTGCAAGTCACAGCTGTTGATACAACAAGTTACTCTGTCAACCCCTATTTTAAAGGTGGGGTAGGTAAGTTTAAGAAACCTGCTCGAGATACACTTTTTGTTATATTCCATGGAATGCTCTTAACATCCCGATAGCAATGAATATTTTAAGTGCTTTGACAAAAAATCCATAAAAAAATGTCATCTGTGGAAGCCGTGGCGCTGTAAAAAGCACGACCAATCATCTGAGCCGGCCCGGCTAAAGTAACTGGATGGCCTACCTGCCTGTCAGCCTTCCATCTGGGCACAAACTTATCTCGTGCCCTCATTGGTCATGTGCGCGTTCGTGTATGTTGGAGGAGGGGCTCTGTAAGGAAGTGGCAGATTTGTTCCGGCTGTGTATTTTCAAATTCGAGCGCACTCGAGCTGGGTTGCGTTCCGATAATCCAAAAATCAGCTCCTACATTCTAAATCTATCTCCTATTCCTTGACCTCTGAGTGAAACGTCACGGGGTTAAGGGATAGTGGATAGGAGAATTCAAAAGGACTTAGGAGAAGAGACCGCGGTACTTTAGAGAATCCGAATGCACTTTCACTATCCGACGTGTTTATGATGCGCCAGCGGACGTCATGAATGTGCGTCTGCTGCTGAGGGGAAACTATGGAAACTAGTTTCTATACAGCGGACTACAACATGGATGTTTAATAAGAACGAGGGACTACTGTAAACTCATCTAGAGACTCTGCACCGTGCTCTGATGCTGTTGCTTTATGCTTTATGAACGTGGACAACAGAGAAACATATTCTTCATGACCAAAGTTGGAATTGAAACAAAAAAGGAAAGTGAAACTTATGCTCATCACCCTCTCCCTCCGGTCCACATTAATACAAATGATCCCAATACGTATGATTGTATGAAAAGATCTTAAAATCAATACAAATGTATTTATTATAAACGTTAGTCCTTAACATCTATCACTGTGTATATCACCATTCAAACATCTTTTAAAAGTTGAACAAACTCCACACAGCTCAGTAAAGACTGTGAGATGTTGACTTTATTTGATCATTTCAGTAAAAACTAACGTTCATATTTCTCTTTTTGATTATAATACTGATGAACGTTCAGAAAAAAGCACTTTGGCAACTTACCACATACGTTTTAAAATGCTTAATAAGCACCGTAACTTTCATGATATCATTTCTCGGTCATAATCGGTTGTTTCCGTGAACGGCCGACTGTTGTGATGGCAAATGCTGAGGCTGCAAGGCATTGTGGGGCAGCATTTTCTCCTCTCCTTTCGGTTAGGGAGGTCCAGTGGTTTCTAAGATAAAGGAGAGTTTGAAACCTCCTTTCCTTTCATTTGGAGAATTGGAACGGCACTTATCATGGCTGCCACTGAGGGACTTCCGGGTCATTTCACTCCGTTAGGAAGGTTCCTAAGCTAAATGGACTATTGGAATGCAACCCTGGTTTCTCCAAAATGACCTACCCCACCTTTAAGTCTTTATGCTAAGCTAGGGTAATTGCCTCCCTGGTCTCTCTGTGAGTGGTCTCGATCTAGACTTGGCAGGAAAGTCAATAAGCCTTTTTCCCAAAATGTTGGACTTTGGGCTTTGCGAAAAGCTAATTAATAAATGTTTAGTTCTCAACGTTTATAATCCTTTTCTGGTGTCAATATTTGCATAGAAACGTTGGGCTTAGTTTCTGTCAGGCATTTGTGTCAGCTCTAAAGCCCCCAAACCATTAAGCCGACCTCAGACAAAGACTCACTAATGCTTCACTACTGTCGCCTCACATTACAACACACATTTTCCATTCAAGGTGGACCTGTTTGAACGTAAATAATGAGTCAGTTTTCTCTTGCTTCTAATTCAAAAAGACCAAAGCATAACATTTCTCTTTCAGGAAAGTAAAATGTGTCACTGTTGTTTATGTTGCAGCTGGCCAACGCTTATGGAATGGACTTCTTTGAGACAAGTGCCTTCACCAACCATAATATAACAGAGGTGAGTTTAAATAAGATATATAGCCATGTACAGGTTTCTAACAATGTTTAAACAATGCATGCAGTCATGATTATATAATGGGAGGAAATTACATGATTACATGTACGCATTGAGTACAGTTGATTAAATTAAAGTTTCCAGGCCCCAGTGAGAATTGAACTCACGACCCCTGGTTTACAAGACCAGTGCTCTAACCACTGAGCTATGGGGCCTTGATGGAGTAGACTCGAAACTATAATCTACTTATAACTAGTTATCTTTATCATGGTGTTTCTATTTCCCTCCAAGACTTTCACAAGATTGGCTGAACAGGTTCTAGCTGCCAACAAAAAGGACCTGGATCTTCTCCGGATGTCGGGTAATGAGGAGATTAATCTAGCTGCTCTGGAGGAAGAAGAAGGACTCTATGAACGCGCAGCAAGCGACGAGAGCAAAGGCTGCTGGTGTTAAAGGAACTGTTTGATTTAGAAACTCTTGTTATTAATATTATATTAGACACTTTACAGGCCCTGGGCAAAGTTTGTCTGCTTTGGTGGTTAGTTGAAACAAAAAGGAACATCAAGCTGCGACTTTGAAACCTGCTAAACCAGAAATGCTAACGCACAATCTCAGAGCAGTTTCAAGGACAAAGGTGGAAACATTTTGCCACACAGTGCCAAGTGTGTGGTGTTTCAACAAATAGGTCCACATGTCAAGGTATCCTCGAAAGACAGAATTATTATGTCCAAACAAAAACAATTCCTGCTCAGATTAGTGTGTTTTAGATGTAACTAAATGCAAATCCATGTCCACTACAAATTCTACAATTGATAACGCTAAACACAAACCTCCAGGAGTGCTGGAAATAAAGATTCTTTTTCTACAGACTTTGTACAGTACCCTGATATAGAGGATGTTGAATGACTTTGTGAATTACCCGCCACTGACTTGAAACTTTTCACAGTGTTCTCATTATTCTCCAAGCGCTGTCTCAGATATTGAGCTGGGTGCCTTGGAAATCAACAAATTGATTGATCAAATGTTGCCTTCATCCTCCCCTTTAGTGTTTCCTTTATGTGTGGGTATTAGCACTCCTGCACAAATAGCCTTTCTACCTTTTAATGCATTAGATGTAGTGTAAGAGTTTGACCACAAGAGGGGGCTACATGCATTGCGAAAACAGCACTGGAGAGGTGTTCAGTGATAATCTATTTTCCTGTATTACTTATGTTTGTTTTTGGATTATTTGCATTCGCAATGACTACCTTTAATGCGATGAAAGGATTAAAAAATATATGCAGCAATTCTTCTTTTTTTCATGCAAATATTGGCGACAGAGGAGGTTTTGCAACTTGTAATATTATCCATGTATGATCATTTGCAGTCACAGTATAAGACAAGTGATTAACTGAGGAAACATTGTAGCAAAACGCGATATATTGTTCATTTTATAGTTTTTATTTATAGGAGAAAAAAAACACTATAGTACGAAAACTTCCTTTTGCATTGTACATACCGACATTCATTTATCGTACATTGGTATCATGAAAATGCGCCATTCACTTAATGTATTCCCATTATAGGGCTGTTTCAAGAAGTATATAAAAAGTGATATTCTAGGTGGTCTGAATTATTCCCTCTGTGAAGATAACTCTGTCCTTTCTCACTGTTTTGTAAAGAGTCCAATGTAGAAGCCATTTCTTTTTCCTTTCCCCTCAGACTTAAAAAGGGACAAGTGAGAGTTTTGCATGCAATCTACTCTTCTCTCCTCTCTCTTATTGCAACTTCAATGAAGTTAATAATTATCTGACCGTGATACAAGGAGAGCATTTTGACCAGAGTTGCCTGTTTGAGACTTAAACAGAATGACCATCGTCCGACTAACTTTGGCTACTTTCTTTTGCAACCTAGTAAGAATAAATGCTACTTTTAAAAAAAAGAAAAAAAAGGTTGTTAATCTGTGCACTGTGTGGCAGTATGTTGTACTGGGTGATGCTCTGGAGTAAGCTCTAGATACAAATGTTTCTGTGTTGTTTTTAAGAACTATTTTTGTTTTGTTATTTTAGACCTCTTTAACATGTATTTGTGGAAATATATTACATGCAACATGTAAAATGCAACATGTTATTCTTGGAGAAAAGATGTCAGATGTTTATGAGTAAAAAACTTGCAGATATATGACTCATCACCAGCGTGTCTTATTGAATAAATTGCAACCCGGTAATCTATTGAAATGAGACGAAGATAGAGAACATAATGCATCCATGTGTTTGAATAATGAGCACTGGATGTCCCTTGAGAATATCATACAATATAACTACAAAGACGTGCTTATCCTCCACATCCATAGATCAACATCAAACTTCCGCTACATGTTTGAACACCATGTATACTGAGCATGAGAGAGTACAGCACGTACTGACGGCACATTGATCCGTGCTTGTGAATGCGGTAACATTATACAGATATGCAGCAGATGCAATTGGAAAGGAAACAAATCAGTAAATGTATAATCTGGTATTCTTCTATATTGGTACATTACGGTATGACTTACTGAATGCATTCACATGAACTGAATACTTTTAATTCATGTGTTTATCCTCTAAAAGGGGGACGAGAAGTGATGAGTGACAACATGTCGCAATTGGTTCAGTTTAATCAATTGTTTTACAATGTATGGAATGGTAATGGAAACATTAAATCAATTAAAGACTGGTGAAATGGCTGGAATACATATCTGGTTAATGCATCAGAATATTTTTAAAATACTGATATATTTTGGTATGGGAATATAACATTGACAAATAGTGACATGATCTTGTAGGTAAGCGAATCTTACATCAAAATAATATATGTTATGACAAAGTTAATGGAGCAAAACTATAGAAAAATGTAATTGAAAAAACCTTTTGCAAATTAAATCACCAGATAAGGTCTGTTTTTTGGCTAACCAGTTTATTTAATACTGCAAAGGAGATTCACAAGTTTGCTCACAGGTAGTCACAACTGTGATAACAGAAAACACTTCATTTTTTTGTTTATCACAACAACAAAAAGAATAATAAAGACTGTTTTAATGACAAAGAGGTTTTAGTCATTTATAAACATTCATGTTGCTTTTTAATTTGGCCACTAGATGACAGATTAACCTCATTATCTTTGTCAGAGTCTGATTTTAAAGTGTACAGCCCTTTAAATGTGTCATGTTGAGAGAGTTATTAGGCACTTAAAGTGTTATATAGGAAATACAACAATAAACAGAACCGCTTATTACCACAGATTCATAAAATTGCCATCTGGTGGTCACTTTAATTTAAATACTTTAAATAGCCATTTGAAGCCTGACGGTTTTCATACCCTATCATCCCCTACACATGGATGTACTGTACACAATCTTTGTCGTAGTATACATGTGTCTTTAGATGTCTGTGATGGGGTTTTCTTAGTGAGAACTACAGAAAAAAAAGCTGCTAAGCTTTTGTTCATCACCTCATCCAAGTTGTTAATGTTGTGAACTAATTAAAAGCTCTTTGGGGGGGAATTAGCATAACGATGAATATGCATGTGGAACTGTTGTCTGGTTGACAGAAACGACAGCTCAGTATCTATCACACGGATGAGTGGCACACGGACACACGTACAGAATAACAAGTCAACTTGCACACTGACACATAGCACCCACGCTCACACATGTACACACACACACACACACACACACACACACACACACACACACACACACACACCACACACACACACACACACAACACACACACCACACACACACACACACACACACACACACACACACACACACACACACACACACACACACACACACACCACACACACACACACACACACACCACACACACACACACCACACCACACACACACACACACACACACACACACCACACACACACACACACCACACACACACACACACACACACACACACAATGAGGAAACTCAGTGTTGTGACCAGAAAGCCCATCATGATCATTATTATTTTCTGCAACACAGGCCCCTCAACGACATTACTCCAGGTCTTGCAGCTGGCTGACATTTGGCCATATGGTGTGTGTGTGTGTGTGTGTGTGTGTGTGTGTGTGTGTGTGTGTGTGTGTGTGTGTGTGTAATCGACTGAATGTTTGGGAGATGATAGAACAGTATGTGTGCGTGGGAAAGTGAGAAAGAAGGAGAAAAACAGACAATGTCCCTAAAATAGAAAGGTACAGAGTTAATTCACGTTCACACAGGAGAGCCAACTGAACTCCCTTGACCGTTACACTGAACATGCTTTGATTTGTATAGGTCTGTCAACACGGAGGTCCACTATAGCTGGCAACACCCACAATAGGAAATGAGACTAGCTGTGAAAGGTTGATTTAATGTGACTGTTAGTCCATTTTGAAAAGTTCATGTAACTGAACGAATATGAAAAGTCTTTGGGTTTAATAATAATAATAATAATAATAATACATACAACGCTTTTTCTGGTGCTGAAAGCGCTATAGAAGCAAGTAAAGAAATACAAAAAAAGTGCTAAACTAGTTGGAATAGGGGCGAGGTGGTGTTAGAGGAAGGCAAGAGTGAAAAGGTGAGTTTTGAGGGCTTTTTTGAATGACGTGTTCGGAGGTGACTGGCCATATACTATTACTCTGGTCAGCAAGAGGACTTTACAACATTGAATGTATGACTGGCAAACATTCTTAGTGCTCCTTTGTTAAAAATAAATAAATACAATAAAATAAATGCTATTAGAATGACAACATTTTCTATTTACAGTCACAATCAGCACAATAAAGCGTTCACAGTCAGTACTACTCACAATATGACGGCCATCAGCAGCCCTCTCTACACACCCACTCCTAATCCTGAAATACCTGCTTGGCAGCTTTAATTAACCGCTTTAGCACCCATGGCTGTATAAAGAGAATGGTAGCACCCTGCCAAGCCAGACTCAGACACCCTCCCTCCGCTCGGCACGTCCCAGGATCCTCGCCAAGGCCTCCACTCCGAATGGAGCCATAGCTTTGTGTGCACAGCGAGCCAGAAAACCATCAGAGAAAATAGATTCTCAATCACACATTCAGAAGTAGCAGTGTAGGTGGAAGGCTTCTTGTGCAGCCAGATCTAACATTGAATCATGTTATCCTCCATCTTCTCCTGCCACCTGTGGTTCAGTGTGCTTTTTAAAGACACCTGTTCTCGAGAACCACCTCCATCTATCCTTAACAATGTCAATGCAGAAACATCTTCCACCAAAAAACAACAGAAACACAGACTGACTTTTTCCACTGTTTAGTGTAATATTGTGTTTATATTTATATATTTCCATAACGATAATAATGTAAAATAATGGTATAAATGATGCAGCTAATGTTGTAGCGAATGTTTACTATGTATATGAATATTAACTGTTGCATGGTTCTGTTTTCACAATTGAACACATGCTTTAAGCAAAATGACCTATTTAATGCTGCAGTACTTAACATTTCATGTAAACAATTGATATAATGATTAATAATTGTATGTGTAATGTTACATTTGAATATTAACAAACCTATAAAAGAACAACCTGATTCTTCTGTCTCTTGTTTATTTTATACTTGTTTCCAGGCCCAACAGGCAGCTGTTTCAGTGAATCGGTTCTTTACTGTGTGCTAATTGTCCGGAAGCAAAAATAAAACAAAGTTAGGGACAAGTTAAATAACATTCAAACATCTAGTAGCTTAATAGTTACTTTAGGAATTGTTGGAGACAAAAGGGGGATGTAAGAGTAAAGGTTGGACATGACTTCAAATGTCATGACGCTATGTCTCCTAGATGAGTATACTGTTTATTCACAATAATGGCATTTCAACTATAAAAGGTGATAATATACCTGTACACAAAAGCACAAAATCTTTCATTCATTTTGCTTTAGACAACAATCACATGATACATTTTCTCTCTGTGCCACTGCTGCCCAAACTTGACCATTTGTCCATCTAGTTAACATTTCTACACTGCACTTGAACTTGAGACTTACTCACTAAGAATAAGGTAATTCCTAGAAACACGAAAAAAGCCAGTGCAATTCAAATGTTCTCCCACCTTGTTTTGCACAAGAGACACACCTGATTGCACTAATTGCATCACAAACAGGTAACATGTTGTCTCGTGGGGCTCTGAGTGTGTGGATTTGAAGCTTTAAAAGAAGCTCCAACATAAACAAGAGAGCTGCTCCTATCAATATTTAAAAGGGATCAACTCTCTGGATGCATACTGTGAAAGCAGCCACTCGTATAGCATTGAACCAGCTCAGCTCTGCAGTTCCCCTTAGCTCTTAAAAGCTTTTGAGCATCGTCTGAATCACTGTTTGTTTTGTATCGCCTATCTACAATTCCATGATAACTGAGCATTTCCTATCAGCTAGTGAAGATGTCCTAAAATTAAAGGTTCTATATCAGACTGAAAAATGGTCGCAAACAACCGAGTTTGCATGACTCAAATGTGTATTCATCTATTTTTAAATCAGCAAAAGAAGACACAGTGCTTGTCGGAAGCATGGTGAAATGTGTTTTTGTTGGTGAATCACTGCATCAGCAACTTGTCTCACAGATCAGGCTTTAATCCTGCCTCCTTCCTTTCAATCGCGTTAGAAACACTGAGCATGTGCGGGTTCTTCCATTTGAATGCATTATGTATAGTGGGGGATTTCTGTTTGACAATTAATCACACTTCCTTCTCTTCTACTTGTGCTATCATTATACAAGCTGGAGCTGGGCCCAAGCAGCAGGGGGTGAACATACACTGAGAGCATGCACGTACAGACCGACATGCAACAGATTGATGGAGAACCAGGATCTCAGTTGGATGCTTCCATCTCCTTTCCAATATCTTATTCCCTTTGCCCCCAAATCCAATCAGAGCGTGTCCGTATCCTGGCCAACCATTGGCTCGCCTCTTCCCACGCTTCCCTCCATGCTAAGTTGGAAACCAAAAACATCACAACTCCAATGTCTCCTTAGGACAACCAACGTTATTTCTGGTGAGGAAGTGTTCAGTGCTTGTCACGTGGCACGGGGGCGGTTAGTGCTATTGAGAGGCGGCAGAGGAGGAGTGTGTGTTCATACACGGTTAGGTGTGTGTGTACGTGCCCTTATATGTGCGTGATTGAACTGGGACCAATCTCCTATGCACTTGATCTACTGCAGGGTGTCATCCGCCCACCTCTACGCTGTTTAACACCAGCATGAGTCACAGCGCTCCAGCTCTCTTCATGGGGAGGTGTGTGTGTGTGTGTGTGTGTGTGTGTGTGTGTGTGTGTGTGTGTATGTGTATGTGTGTGTGTGTATGTATGTGTATGTGTGTGTGTGTGTGTGTGTGTGTGTGTGTGTGTGTGTACATACCGTGCCAAATGGGGGGTATTTTGAACTTGAATTCTGTCTTTGCCTCTGCCTTTTCAAACATATCTCAAAAGTTCCTGCAGTCTACAAAGGAAGGCTGCGATTGCGAGGATCACTGTGCAGCGCAACGTTTCACAGGCAGCTCGGTCTCCCATGGGACAGACCTGCATGTGCCTTATGCTGAGAAAAAACTGAAGAACTGTGGAGAAAGAGTTGTTTTAGCTGCATAGGAAATATTCCATGGCTTCATGAAAACCCCAGTCAAAACTCTCTGCATGCATTACTGTTTTTTCTTTACCCACTGGCAGAGTGAAAGTGAGGGGGATAAAGGTACAAGCAGGGAGGAAAGCCTGCCTCTTTGTTTTGCTTTTATTTCTTACTTTCATTCAATAGATTCAATATGCTCCTGGCATACAGTTGAAGCAACACCCATAACATACACACATGGTAAATAATTGATGACGTATCGTTCCTTAGTCTTCTCTTGAGTTTGTTTAAGCAACATTCAACTTGGTGGGCAAGTCTTAAGGCGTGTTCAAATAAAACTGATTACGTGTGTTCAAGTGGTTTATTTGTTTAACTCTAACTGCTTCAAACTATGTTTGTCCAAGGCACATGCCACGAGACTCAGATGCCAAGATGTGCATGGGTCAACTCAAAATCCATAGTTTTCAAGCTGACTGACTGAATGCTTATCCTGTTATCTGTTATCAACATAATCACTTTTTATCCAGCACCATAATTAAGTACAATTTCGTACTTAACTTGGAATGATTTGTCCAATACACGTCTTTGATAGATTACATGCAAAAACAATGGCATTCCTATAAGACTCAGCTGTAGTTTGAGTGTGGTGCTAGATAGCAAATGTTAGCATGCTAACACCCTCAACTAAGATTGTGAACATTGTACACATGACCTGCTACCGCTATGTTAGCATTGTCATCGTGAATATGGTGGGAAGCTAAAGTTAGTATTTAGTTTGAAAATGTTTCATGTGCAATCAATGCATTTCAGGATCATATCTCCAAGGGCCAAAAACAAATATAGGAAGAAGTTAAATCTATAATCACTTGCTCAATCTTTTTATGTAGCAATTTTAGTGAACATCATCAGTTGCTGTACTCCTCCTCTCTATCCTAAAATGCCTGCCAATCAGTCAGCCTTGTGAATAAAACCCCACCAGTTTACTCTCACAATAACGCTGTGCAACAAAGGCCTAATTGCGAACACACTTCAATCTACACACAGTGGTCCCTACTTATGAAAAACAAGCGCATCAAATTCTGTCTATTTTAAGAGCCCACTGTCTGCATAATGCCCCTTTAGTAAAGGAGACAAAAGAGCCAGTGTATGTGAAAACAACTTGTCGCCTTTCTTCATGTCAATCTCTATTAGTGTAGGAGCGCCGCTTGAGTGGAACTTTGTGAATGGGGCCCATTCTTTTCATTCCTCTGCTTCCACGGCAACACAGACAGGAATTCCTGCGCTCTCCCTCTCTGGGTTACAGCGGTCATGTATTCTACAGGTGGTCGACCCATGCCTGACTTCACTTCTTGACATCTCAATATATCTCAGACGGCCACCATGTGATAACATCACGATTGATGCAGTGATGTAAAGGGCATGCTGTAAGAGAGTAAGGGTCAATGACTGAGCTTCAAAAACACCCTCCCTCATTAAGGTTTCTTCTTTCCACACAGATCAGTCTGTCATACCACCAAGAGAGAACATGAAAGATAATAGTGGGATTCAAGTTCAAGATGCTGCAAGTGCAAAGGTAGACTCTATAACTCATGAAATGAAAGATCTCGGTAGGAACTGCGACAATTTCTGTCATTTTATTCAAGGTCCACACTATAAACTATATCTAGCATGGTTGGGATACTGTAATGCAATCTAATGAGAAGATTTTTAAGAAAATAGATATATTCAAGTATATCCGAGTTCGGTAGAAAAAAGACTGAGATGTTGACATACGCTGCTGCCCCACAATGCAATGCACAAAGGAAATGAAAAACGTTCCCACAAATTAACGAAGCCGTTTCAGGAAGATACTGGAAATAAAACTGGAACTATAGCTTTTTGTGTGTAACTACCACAAAAAGCGCATTGTGACACTCAGTAATAACAAACAGAAGACACAATTAGTATGTAAGGAATTGTTACACAGTGATTGTGTTGCTGGGTGCTAACAGAACAAACAAGATTCAATACAATTACTACTTACATATTTGATTTATGGTATGGAAGTGGGACACCGTTATTGCATGGATATCGGGAAACAATATCAGAAGACTGACTCCATATGCCTCTACTCTGTGCATAGCTCTTCCTATGAATGGTTTTCTTTTAATATAGTAGTGAAGTTATGGCGGTTTAGGGTGTCTATAAATGCCCTTTTTAGTCGTTCTCATAAATAACAGTAATATTGATTTCTTCCACCACCAGATGACTAAAGTGTTTAAGTTTTCACTACTTTTGCCCAAGTAGCTGATGTCTCATTATTTTATTGGCATAACAAATTCATTTTTTCATTGATGTGTCCTATGCTTTAATCCTTACTGAATGTCATTCTGTGGCTAAGCCAATTACACTACTTGAGTTAATCCCGGGGGAACAGTTTTTCACCAGAGAACAATTCAAACCGCCCACACAAATATCCGCCCCATGACAGAATGGGGTGGGCAGTGTGAGGACCCACAGAGCTACAGGAATAGAGAGGATTTTAATGATGGTAATCTCTTTTCCTTTGTCTTTATTAGATTGTTATGTAATCCTGGATGACATTTTAGAATAATGGATGCATGGATGGAAAGTGGAAATGAGACGAAGGCAGAGGTAAATGTGGAAAGAATAACTAAATGAAGATGGGTATATGAAGTCCTGTCATACCTCGGACCAGACATAATAATTATAGAAAAGAAAAGAGAGACAGGCTGTGAACAGAGAATACAGAGAACAAGGTTGTTTCTATTCACAGGTGATTATGTAGGCGAGAGAGATGCATTCCTGTGACTCCTATACTATTCACCCCCTCCTCATGCCGGTACCTGCAGAGCTGCTTTAATTAAAGCAGTGATCTTTCTCTTATCTCATTAAAATTTGATGCTGAAATAATTAATGTATGTGGGGAAAGGAAGCAGGTGGAATTTGAAATGCGGGTGTAAATGTATGCACTGAATGCCTCATATGTCTATCCCCTAACCAATGTATTTTCCTTTCATTAAGTCTTTTAAATTAGCTGTGTATATAACTCTTGATGATGAGCCTACTTTGGTGCAAAACTGAAAAAATAGTATAAAGCCTATTGTGGCTTTAGACGAAGCTGTGTGAAGTCTGATTGCCTCAAGTGACGTCACTTTGATGGTTCTGAATAAGAGACAATTGCTTCTGATGGCTGTGATCATATTTTGCCATACCTGGATTCAAACTGCAATAGATGATGTAATAGCAGATACAGAGGGTTCATCATGAGCTGTATTCATAAACACCTGACCTGAAACACAAACACCATGTTGCATTTGGAGAACATCTGTCGCTGTAAAATAACCTTTCAACTTTCCTATCAAAAATGTAAACATAATAGTAGCACTATGACAAACATCACGAGTAAAAAGGTAATCAAAACTAATTGTATATTTAACAAATATTTGATCTGAAATATGACACTGTATTTTATTTATTTGAAATATTTTTGTAATGTATTTATTACTTTATCTGTCTACACCTATTGTCATGTTTTTTGTATACAAAATATGATGTTCATATATACAAAATAAATAAATAAAAATAAAAAAGCCGTTCCGTTTCTGTTGCCAGAGCAACGCTTTCTCTCTCTCCCATCCGCCTCTCACCAGCAATCCGTTGATTTAGTTAAACTCTCGCGAGACTACTGAGTCCATTCAACACACCGTTCTGATTTCTATCGCGAGACTAGAGGCCAGAGTTTGAGAGGGAGGCGGTTACCTCATCGTCGTCGCAAGGCGGAGCGAATCGCTGCAACTTTTTGGATGAACTTCTTATTTGAACAAACCGAGAGGCGGTCGGCAGACTGCACGGACAACAACACACCCTAAAGGTGAAGAGATTTAGAGCTTTTTCCGCTACGAAGTGTATTTACAACCGGTTCGTTTTATCGCGACAGTTTGTGAATGCCAGTAACGGAGCAGCGAGAGCGTTATTTTCCCTCTCGAAAACGCCGACAAGGTGGAAATTACTAAAGGTGAGTGCGCTCTCTGCTACGTTGGTCTCCCTACTCGCACACTAGCAATATCAAAACACCGTTAGTTTGTCGTTAACGGTCAACTTTTTAATGGTTGAATTGTTATCTGTGCATTTCAGTATTTGAGTTAACGTTCATGTCACCCACAAACGGGTTGCAGGTAACACTAGGGAAGGAAAAGTACCCTACAAAGTTAGCGAGCAGTCGGGTAATGTCAGTACTGTGTGTGACTCACGGCTGATGCATCGCCTATATTCTAGCTAATATATCTTTTTACCAACCATGCAAAGCATTTGGATTTCGACCCAACGTTCAGTTAACATGTCATGCCTCCCCCTAAGACAAACCACAGTTTAACATTCAGACACCGTGGCTCCTAAAGAAACAGGAAACCCTGCAAGACGAGCATCAGATAAAGGTAATTGTTGAGTCAAGTCCCTGTGTGTCTGCTGTGTAATTGGGATGGCTAGCTGCAGTCGCTCTTGGGGTTTCCTGTTCATATCAACCATGCCCCCCATCTATTTACTTGTGAACGATGACGCAATCGTAGCCACCAGAGAAATATTGTCTTATATCTGGTGAAGAAGTTATTTTTTGTGCAAATGCATGAAAGTTGTATTAAGGTATATTTGGCTGTCATGCATTGCTGTCGTGCATGAGTTTGGACATTTGCAGTGCTTCACCAAATCCCTTCTAAATGAGGATGCACATAGACATCCCTATGTTGTTATTTTGCAGGGAAAGTTCATGAACTGTTCCTTTGCAAACTAAACTTCTAGGTTTTAGAATGTTATTCATAATGCATGATATGTTACGGAAGCCGACAATGCAGTTGTTAAGGAATGTGCATGACATCGAATATTAAGTTAAAGCCTAATTTCTGCCCAGTGCTCTGTCAAAACCAGCCTCATTAATCAAAATGGCCGTCTGAGTAATCTAGTCAGGTTTGAATAGTGATGTAACACTGCTACATTTAAAGGAATGCTCCACTCATTAGATAATTAATCAAAACTTCAGTATTTAGTGAAACATTATGTTTAAACCATACCCTGAAGAAATCAGCGATATTCCCCGGTAAATAATGATTTTATAGCTCCTTTTTATCAAAACCTGTATATTCCGTCAGGCCGCTGCCATTTTGCCCATTTTCAGTAGTCACGTGATGGTCGTGACGTCATCCATGCGTTCACTTTGTAAACACACGAAAACATGGCGAAATTTTGAGCAATATGAAGAGATTGGAAGGGGGAATTCAGCCATACAGGTTCGAGCCTACTTAGTACTACTTAGTAGATACAATGATTTTGATTACTAGATATGTATGCATGTAGTACCACCCTTGCTAGCGATTCCCTCTCTAGTTTAGCATACTCAGCCTCGTTGTCCCTGGCCCTAGAACCACGATTTTATGGGGCCGGAAAAACTGGGGGGAAATACCCACTAGCCGGTACTACGCTATATGGAAAGGCCACCAAAAACTGGCCTGGCCTGGACGATAAAGGACGTTTAAACGGGGCTACCCGCTGCAATGGAAATGCGCCATAACATACCTTATTCTTACTCCGAGCACTACTTCTGGTCCTCCGTCGCTTCACACTTGCAGAGGGCGATTTCTTAACTGGCCGAACTGGTGTCCTGGTAGGTGATGACACCAGAAAGACCGATGGTACTGCATCTCCATTAAGTAATGGTTGTTCAATAAATCCCATGTTATGTTTTATCATACTCTCAGAGTAGTCGTCCGGAAACTTGAAATGTTCGCTGCATACATGCGCCTGTGGATCTTTCGGTTCGGGCCGGCCACATTTCGCTAGCCACTGCCTCCGAACGTACTTCCTACGCTTACCTTTTGGCAACAGATAGAACCGAGCATTCCGTGGATTGTTCCTATCAGAATTGTGGCAATGTTTCGCGATACAATGAGGCATATTTGAAGAGAGTAACTACAGTAAATAACATGAACATCAACGTGTCCTCGAAACCAAACGCATGGTTTACGTCACGTCCGGTAAAATGGCGCCGCCCACAGTGTTGATGTTATTTCGGTAATTAATCAGTTTAAAATCACTGATAATGTCATCGGATTAAAAAAAAAAAAAGAGAGACTGGCAGAGACTGGTCTGTTTTATCGGATGATAACACATTTTAAATGAGTGTCATGAGCATACCATTCCTTTAAGTGATGAAGGCTTATATCTTAAACACATTTCATTACTCTGGTAAAACTCAGTTATGTTTAAGATTATTAAAACAGGTCGCTCACTTAAGTTTTCTTATATGCAAGTTTGTTCATCTGTGTGTCCGAGCTCTCCTCTGTCTTAATGACACCCTAAGAGGGATTGTCATTGTAAGTGTCCCCCTCCCCCCCCTCCCTCTGTAGCTGCTCTGTCTCTTGTTATTGCTGCCATCTCAACCTGTGGAGTCCGTCCCGAGGCTACCAGCTTCAGTCTCTCAGGGGGTTCACACACACCCCCTTGCCTACACGCAGAAACACACTGCATCCTCCTTTGAGAAGTCCTAAATGGACACGTCAAAGAGATCTCATCTCTATTCATAGGCTGGCCGGGGTGGGTCAGATTCTCAACTTGAAACACAACAGCGGCATTAGAAATATATTCTCTCCAGGACAGCAATTCAACCGCTTTGTCCACTTTGCTTTGGCTACTGCAACCGCTGTGTTGAATCCCCCAAAACTGTCACGTATTAGCGTTCGGACGTCTCTTTCCATCATCCTTCCCGTGTCGGTGCGTTTGAATGCCAAGGCTGAGCAGATCTGGAGTCTGTGTTGCATTTACAATAATAAGTGGGCTATTGAAATTGAGTGTGTAGGTGGAGGCACACACGTTCTGTAACACATGTAGCTGGTGAATCAAAGGGGAGGTGGGAGAAAAGAAAAACGGATACGAAAAATGAAAATGTCAGGGTTGCTGCTGGGCTGCTAAAAGAGTATCAAAGGGCTTTGGGGTTGTAGAGCCATTGAAACATCTTTCTAGGTGCTCGGCACTAAGCAGCTGGAGTTGGCACAGTAGGGGCTCTTATTGTGAGTTTCAAATGAAGATCTTTCCACTGCCTTTTGTAATTGCTTGCAAGCAAAGTCTTTTGCTGTAAAATCTGTATCAGATGTACTGTGATCGGGACGTGGTCACTCATTCAAAAATCCTCTAATGTGTAGCCTAGGCCTATCTGGAACAGACGAGGCTTTTGGCAGTGCGAACAGAGAGAAATTTGGCAAGTGCAAAGTCAGAAAAAAGAGGACACTTTAATCTCATAGCATGCCAGCTCGCACTTTCGTCTGCATGCAGGGGCTGGAAACAGAGTCTTAGCTGTTTACGATCTTCCAAGCTATCCCTGCTATGGCCCCCCTCCCTTGCCGAGCTACTTTCTATCATCTCTGCCTTGTCCTCCCCTTCTGTCGCTGCTTCTTTACTTTCCACCTCCCACGATTCCCTCCTCCCTCCTCCCATCACCAGCAGTGCCTTTTCCTCTCGTCCCGGGCTTCCTTCCTTCCTGTTGTGGAAAGCATGTCGGGACTGACACTCTCCCCATTTCTGTCCACATCCCTCACCTTATCTATCCTTCTCTTTTGCTCCCGTCCTTGTGGTTTACATTTCTTCCCCCTTTTCTCCGTGTTTCTGTCTCCCTCCCCTCCTTCTCTGTCTCTCTGCATGTTGGAGATTGGAATGTGAGCTCCCTCTGTTTAAGGTCTTGGGGTGGGCTGTCTCTTGAGAAATAGCAGAGCAAGAAGTACTCTTTACCAGTGAATAGATCACACCGCAGGCCAGAATGATTCAATAAAACTACTAGGCCTCTGTAAATCAAAGTTATTCCTGTATAGAGAATTTAAAGATGGCCTTCTCGCACAAACACTGCATTTTTCCTATTAACCTCAACATATCAACACTTTTTTCAAGAGTGTTATGGTAAATGCATCACTGCCAACTCAAATTGCAACAGCTGGAACACTCCAGGAGGTTATGCCAGCTAATTAGCATTGATAATTATTAGCATCATTCATATTACAAACAAACATGGTATATTTGTCAGGTTTGACAGTAGACAGAATAAGGCATCGTCGGAGTACTGCTGGTAACTTTCCTTGAACTTTTACTGAAGGGCTAGAGGGATAGAAATGCACACTTTGTCTATTGAGGTGCTTGTTGGAAAGCAGACTTAAACATAAGAGAACGAAGAGCGGTGAACTCGTAACTCTGATGCATTTATTGTACTTTTAGGGTCCATTTATAAGGTCTTCAACTTTATCCATTCAATTTTAAGTTTATTTGTTGTGTTCTTTCACTTGAGTAAATATATCGAGCTGCACTGTGAATGTTAAAACAAAGTCAGAAACGTCACACCATCACACAAAGTTGATTAACACTAAGTTAATACCTAACATATTCTCATTTGGCTGGGTTTAATACATTTCAAACAGCCACCTGTCTTGAGTCGTGATTGATAATACAGCCAGATGAACTTGTTACCATTCTTTTAATTCAACAGATAGTTGGAAAATATTGCAAAATCCAGAAAGTATTTTCACAAAGATTTCATCCCGGAAGACTTGATTAAAGCTTTGTTAGAAGGCCTAGGTCTATGTACTCTGACACATTTGAAGCACAAGCCAGCATATTGTTTCCGCCTAACAAACATCCCTCGAGGGGTTTTCTCTTGATATGTGACATTGCATATCTCTTTTGATCCATGTTTCTCTTGCAGAGGATCATTCAGGAACCCTGTTCAGGCTTTCAGTCGGCAGTGTCAGGGCCTTTTAATAGCAGCCAGAAAAGGAAAGAGAGGGCACAAGAAGAATCAGTTAAGCAGTTCCACCTGAGGTAAAGCAACTTAAAAGCTACATTTTTCCTGTAATGGATCCTTTTCTCTTTCTCCACTTTCTCCATCTCTGTCTGGTGAAATCACTTCTTAATTAGGACTGTAAGAGGGGTTTACAGCGCATGCAAGCGAAGTGGATTATATAAAAAAAGCTTCAGTTGTGAAAGATG